CGGTCCAGGCGTCCCGGGAAACCTTTAAAATTTATAAAATTTATAAAATTTGTAAAACTTATAAAATTTATAAAGCTTCCTTCTAAACTTGAGCAAACCAGGCTCTATAAATTTTATAAATTTTATAAGTTTCACCTTAAAGGGTAAAATTGATAAATTTATAAAATTTATAAAGTTTTGGGTTCAGGCGTCCCGGGAAACCTTTAAAATTTATAAAATTTATAAAATTTATAAAATTTATAAAATTTATAAAAATTTTTAAATTTTATAAAGTTTATAAAAATTTATCAAATTTATCAAATTTATCAAATTTATCAAATTTATAAAATTTATAAAATTTATAAAGCTTCCTTCTAAACTTGAGCAAACCAGGCTTTATAAATTTTATAAATATCATAAATTTCACCTTAAGGGTAAAATTTATAAAATTGATAAAATTTATAAAGTTTGGGTTCAGGCGTCCCGGGAAACCTTTAAAATTTATAAAATTTGTAAAATTTATAAAATTTACAATTTTTTTTCAAGTTTCCTTCTAAATTTGAGCAAGCCAGGCTTTATAAATTTTTTAAATTTTATAAATTTCACCTTAAGGGTAAAATTTATAAAATTTATAAAGTTTTGGGTTCAGGCATCCCGGGAAACCGTTAAAATTTATAAATTCATAAAGTTTATAAAATTTATAGAGCTTCCTTCTAAACTTGAGCAAACCAGGCTTTATAAATTTTCTAAATTTTATAAATTTCACCTTAAGGGTAAAATTTATAAAATTTATAAAACTTATAAAGTTTTGGGTTCAGGCGTCCCGGGAAACCTTTAAAATTTATAAAATTTATAAAATTTATAAAACTTATAAAATTCATAAAATTTATAAAGCTTCCTTCTAAACTTGAGCAAACCAGGCTTTATAAATTTTATAAATTTTATAAATTTCACCTTAAGGGTAAAATTTATTAAATTTATAAAATTTATAAAGTTTTGGGTTCAGGCGTCCCGGGAAACCATTAAAAATTATAAAATTTATAAAATCTATAAAATTTTTAAAATTTATACAATTTATAAAGCTTCCTTCTAAATTTGAGCAAACCAGGCTTTATAAATTTTATAAATTTTATAAATTTCACCGTAAGGGTAATTTATAAAATTTTTAAAATTTATAAAGTTTTGGGCTCAGGCGTCCCGGGAAACCTTTAAAATCTATAAATGTTTATAAAATTTTTAAGATTTTTAAAGCTTCCTTCTAAACTTGAGCAAACCAGGCTTTATAAATTTTGTAAATTTCACCTTAAGGGTAAAATTTATAAAATTTATAAAATTTATAAAGTTTTGGGTTCAGGCGTCCCGGGAAACCTGTAAAATTTATAAAATTTGTAAAATTTACAAAATGTTTAAAATTTATAAAAATTTATAAAATTTATAAAATTTATAAAATTTATAAAGCTTCCTTCTAAACTTGAGCAAACCAGGCTTTATTAAATTTATAAATTTTATAAGCTTTATAAATTTTTTAAATTTTAAAGGTTTCCCGGGACGCCTGAACCCAAAACTTTATAAACTTTATAAATTTCAAAAATTTTTCCCTTAAGGTGAAATTTATAGAATTTATAAAATTTATAAAGCCTGGTTTGCTCAAGTTTAGAAGGAAGCTTTATAAATTTTATAAATTTTATAAATTTTTATAAATTTTATGAATTTTAAAGGTTTCCCGGGACGCCTGAACCCAAAACTTTATAAATTTTATAAATTTTATAAATTTTACCCTTTAAGGTGAAATTTATAAAATTTATAAAATTTATAAAGCCTGGTTTGCTCAAGTTTAGAAGGAAGCTTTATAAATTTTATAAATTTTATAAATTTTTTAAATTTTATAAATTTTAGAATTTTTAAAGGTTTCCCGGGACGCCTGAACCCAAAACTTTATAAATTTTGTAAATTCTATGAATTTTACCCTTTAAGGTGAAATTTATAAAATTTATAAAATTTAAAAAGCCTGGTTTGCTCAAGTTTAGAAGGAAGCTTTATAAATTTTATAAATTTTATAAATTTTATAAATTTTATAAATTTTATAAATTTTATAAATTTTATAAATTTTTGAAAATTTTATAAATTTTATAAATTTTTTAAATTTTATAAATTTTAAAGGTTTCCCGGGACGCCTGAACCCAAAACTTTATAAATTTTTTTTATTTTTTATAAATTTTACCCTTCAAGGTGAAATTTATAAAATTTATAAAATTTATAGAGCCTGGTTTGCTCAAGTTTAGAAGGAAGCTTTATAAATTTTATAAATTTTATAAACTTTATAAATTTTATAAATTTTATAAATTTATATATTTTAAAGGTTTCCCGGGACGCCTGAACCCAAAACTTTATAAATTTTATAAATTTTTATAAATTTTACCCTTAAGGTGAAATTTATAAAATTTATAAAATTTATAAAGCCTGGTTTGCCCAAGTTTAGAAGGAAGCTTTATAAATTTTGTAAATTTTATAAATTTTATAATTTTTAAAGGTTTCCCGGGACGCCTGAACCCAAAACTTTATAAATTTTATAAATTTTATAAATTTACCCTTTAAGGTGAAATTTATAAAATTTATCAAATTTATAAAATTTATAAAGCCTGGTTTGCTCAAGTTTAGAAGGAAGCTTTATAAATTTTATAAATTTTATAAATTTAATAAACTTTATAAATGTTAAAGGTTTCCCGGGACGCCTGAACCCAAAACTTTATAAATTTTATTGTTTTTTTTTTTTTTTTTTTATAAATTTTTCCCTTAAGGTGAAATTCTTTTAAAATTTATAAAATTTATAAAGCCTGGTTTGCTCAAGTTTAGAAGGAAGCTTTATAAATTTTATAAATTTTATAAATTTTATAGATTTTGCCTTAAGAGTAAAATTAATAAAATTTAAAAAGTTTATTTCTTAAATATTTTAATTATAGATACCTATAAGTATATATATATATATATAGAGAGAGAGACATACAGAAGGGGATTTCCCACACTATACATAGAGGTCCTACGTACTTAGGGCCTATAGGGTTTAGGGCAAACCCTAAACCCTAAACCCTGTGCCCCTAGGAACGGCGTCTTGACGGGAACCCTGGAAGTGGGTGCTTCCATGGACTTCGAGATCGAGGGCACGGTGACTGCCAACAAGGATCCTAGGATTCCCTGGTACAAGGAGGGTTTAGGGTTTAGGATTTAGGGTTTAGGGATTCGGTAGCCCAGTGGTACCCTTTTCCCCTTCTGTTGGCTCAAGGTCCCCTTATACAGTAACCAAGCCCAAAAAGGGTGCCCTTATTATCATATTGTTACGGGCTACCAAGTATGTTTAATGAGCCCTGCGACATAGCAATCGTAAGCAAGATTAAAGCTTACGTTTAAGGGAGTATATTGCTAAACCCCTAAGCCCTAACTTTTATTGGAGGTTCCGGAAGCAAAGCCTAGGATGGCGAGGCCGATGTGTCCTTTGCAAGCCCGAAAATCAAGCACGAGGCGGGCATGTTTCCACCGTAAACCATGTTTAGTTTTTGGGGTTTAGGGTTTTTGGGTGGATGTCAGAGCCAAACTCTGTAAACCCTTTGTGAGACCCCAAGCCTCCCAAATCTACCCAAGAGGATTCAAGCCATGCAGCCATTTGGCACGGCAGAATGTAAGTATATCCTAAGGGACTGGAGGGAGGTGACTGCCTCCTTTAGGGTTTAGGGTTTAGGGTTTAGGGTTTAGGGTTTAGGGACCCTATGGGTTTAGGGTTTAGGGTTTAGGATTTGGGGTTTAGGGTTTGGGGTTTAGGGTTTAGGGTTTAGGGCAGTTTCTGGCAACATCCACAAGAGTCCGGATGCAAAAAGGGTTTTAAGTTTATAAACCCTAGAACAGCACATGCCCTGAAGCCCTGTATCCTCGGCCCAAAGTTTTCAGCTTCATGACCTAGATGTCATCTCCAAAGACAGAAGATTAGAGCTCGTTCAGGTTTTAAGGTTTAGGTTTGAGGGTTTACCCGAGAACAAGATTCCAAGCGCGAGGGATGGGTTGACAACGCTTGGGGCTGAAAGGAGTTTGTAGAGTCCTCCGCCCCTGCCAGGAAGGCTTCGCGATCGGCGCCAGTGCTTTCGCTTCCGTGCGCGTGGCCGCAGGGCCAATCTTTACAGTTCCTGCCTCAGCTGGTCTCGTGTTTAGGGCAACTTATTGCGTTTCGGTAACCTCGAGCTGTGGGCAGGGTCCTCTTGATGGCCCACCTGTGTGCACGTCTCTCTTATTTCACTTCTTTGGCAGGGAAACGGATGAGTAGTGGGTGTTTCGATGTTAGAGATTGCAGGTAAGATGCGGAGAGTTTGAGAGAAACCAGCTTTACTGCATGCAGTGCAAAAGGTCATCGTATGCAGTGCGCAAGGTCGTCGCAGCTTCTTCTCATTCAGAAGCGGCTGTTCGTCCTTCTCGAAAGCCCATAGCCAAATACTGGTGTGGGAATCCCATATGCCTAAGCTGCACGAACAGAAAACAGCAAGAACCAAAACGAAGTTTAATTTGCAGCTTGCAGCCTTGTTCTCCATTCCTGGTTCGACATGGGCGGGAAGGGCACAGCACACTGTGGTTCACACTTCATTTTTTTGCCGAAGTTGCCGGAACCACATGTAGGGGCCTTTCAAGAGGAGAATCAGACAAGCTACTAAGGATTTCTGAAGCAAGGCGTCCCAAAAAATAGGCGCCCTCCCAGAGAGCGCGACGAAGGTTTGGCCCATGCCGGGCGTTGCGGTGAACTGGAACCCCATGTTCCACGCGGAAGCTCGAGCCGCGGGTACATTGAGCTTCAAAGCTGGCTCGGGAGTGTTCCTCCTTCAGGACTCCGACACATCCCCTGCCTCGAACTTGCTTCTATACCCTCCTTGGGAATTATATTTTTGTGTGTTTATATAAACCCCAAGAGGATGTTAAACAAATTATGTTGATTAAGGTTCTAAGGGGAGTCTAGGCTTGCGACCCAAGCTACTGATGGAGTCTCCATGGCTTCGAACACGACCTTCGGCCAGCTCGAGATGTGTGGTGCAGCAGCCGCATGCTCAGGTCCTGTCTCTGTGTCCACACATCTATGTCCCCCTTGGGAATTCTTCCTTTTTTAAATGTTTGTTTAAACAAAAGCCCAAGAGAATATTAAACATACATTTTTATTAAGGTTCTAAGGGGAGCATAGACATACACATTGCACCACATGTGAAACTTGCCAGCCGCCACCGCGGCTGAAGTTTTTCGCAGTGATTGCGGTGACGGCCGAGGCCTTAAATCTGTTTGTTGACACCGATGTCACGGCCTTCTCGCTGCCGCATCTGAGTAGCAGCCGGGTAGGGTTGTTGTTTCCTTTAGGGTTTAGGGTTTAGGGTTTAGGGTTTAGGGTTTAGGGTTTAGGGTTTAGGGTTTAGGGTTTAGGGTTTCTAGCCAACCGCGACAGATAAGGGAGACCTTTCGAATGGAGCTTTCAACGCAAATTCTCAAGGACCGGCTTGAGTGGGCCCATATAGGGTTTAGGGGTTTAGGGTTTTAGGTTTAGGGTTTAGGGTTTAGGGTTAGGGTTTGGGGGTTCATCCATACACGGGGTGCAGGTTTGAACTGGCGCACTGAGAACTTGGGGTTGAGGGTGTAGGGTTCAGGGCATAGAACCCTAAGCCCTAAGCCCTAAACCCTAAACCCTAAACCCTAAACCCTAAACCCTAAACCCTAACTTGGTTTTCTGCGACAGCGAATGTGAAGGACAGAATTGCCGATGCCATCGCCAAGGGCGCCGCCTTAGTTTTCGGCATGATGGCCAGCTCCTCATCTCTCCATAGCCAGGCTTGTTTAGGGTTTAGGGTTTAAGGTTTAGGGTTTAGGGTTTAGGGCTTAGGGTTTAGGGTTTTAGGTTTTTAGGGTTGCGCCCCTTAGTTCAGGAATATACCCTGAAACCATATAAGGGGCCCTTCTTATGATTCAAGGGTATATTCCGTATAATTATTGTGCACCTTGTTTTCTTGACGTTGTAGTCGGGCGGCACTTGAGGAAGGCGCGGGACACTAACGGGGCTGCCCCCAGGTACCCCCGCCCTCTTTTACTAGGATCCGGAGTAGGCCCTCATCCCCCTTTTTGGGGGGCCTCAGGGTCCCTTACAAGCCCCTTTAAACCAAAAAGGGTAGTCTCTTTGCTGAAGCTACTGCTTGCACTACATGAGGCCCGGGTCTACAGTGCATTCCGGGAGCAAGCACGGTGAAGTCGACCTTTCAGGATGTGATAACGAAGGCCACCTCGGCGATTACCAGCTTGATCCCAGACATCCAGTTCCTTCGTAGCAGAGTAGGTAACCTTTAACCCCTTTTCTTTTTGGTTATTCTAATCCCAATAAAGTCCCAAAGGTTAACCTTCAATTCCCCCAGGTTACTGGACAACTAAGGTTCAACTTCGAGCTCAAGTCAGTTCCGTTGGCGGTTGAGACGATGTACCTCAGTTCTTGTGTGGGTTGGAAAGGGGGTTTTTGCATAATGCATGCCTTAGGGCTCCTAATGTAGTATGTTTTTGGCGTAATATACTCTAACCCCCTCTAACTAACCCAAAAAGGATCTACATGTGCATTTGAGCCTTCAGGTATCCTCCAGGTACCCCGCAGAAAAACTAAAAAAAAAAAACAAAAAAAAACTTCAACCCTAGAAGCCCTAGAACCGAATAGTAGAGTAGGTGACCTCAAATAACCTTTTTGGGGCATAGTAATCCTATATCATCCCATAGGTTAACCCTTGAGCTTCCCTAGGATACTGGACAACTAAGAGAAGGCCCTGCCAACCAAGGTACTGCACTGAGGCCTACAAGACACCCGGTTTCGACACCGCCCCCTGTGCAGCCGAGCTTGGATGTAAGAACTCGGGCAGGACTCCAGAGGAAGGCAACGAAGTTCTTCCTCCAGAGCAAGCACCTTGTGAATTGAATTCGGCCTTCCTCCCATTTGTCCGCTGCGGAGTTTTTTGTGGGTTTAGGGTTGAGGGGTTACAGGGGTTGTAGGGGGCATCGGCGTACGGTTTATAGGGGTTATTATAGGGGTGAAGGGGTGATAGGGGGTGGTAGGGGCTTAGGGCCGACACCCAACTGTGAACCCCCCCCCCCCCCCCCCAAAAAAAAAAAAGAAACAAACAAAAAAAACAACCCTAAACCCTAAACCCTAAACCCTAAACCGTTCCAAGGTAGTGAAGCACGTCGAGCCCACCGGCGCGGCCGAGACGTGCTACGACCTTCCAATGGGAGATCGAAGCTCTGCGGTTTAGGGTTTAGGGTTCAGGGTTTAGGGTTTAGGGTTTAGGGTTTAGGGTTTAGGGCTTAGGGCTTAGGGTTTTAGGGTTTAGGGCTCCTTAGAGGGGGCTTGCTCTAAAACTAGAGTCCCTGAGTGGGGCTTCAATCGTATAGGGGGATCCTCAGCGGACAGTTATGTGTAATGTGTATACATAAATATACAAAGTACATACACACACACGTAGATATATGCACATGCATATACATACATATGTATATGTATATATATATATACATATATGCAGTTCTTATATATATATATATGGTGTAGGATGTAGGGTTCGAGTGAACTCTCGGAGTGCTCTTACAGAATGTGGCCGGGAGCTATGGAGAACCCCACCTGGATTAACCGAATTATTCCCTGATGTGTGAAGGAGCGCACGCGCGCACACCCTAAACCCAAAACCGAAAGGCTTAAACCCTAAACATCCCTAAACCGTAAGCCTTATAAACCCTAAGCCCTAAACCTAAACCCTAGACGCTAGCACTAAGGATTCATAGATGTTGGCGACTGGCGTTTGGCAGCCATCGACAACGATCAGTTCAGCATCTCGCACAAGGAGCCTTGGTCCCATCTCTGGGGGGGGGGGGGCACGTTCATAGGGCTTCGGGTTGAGATGCTTTAGGGATTGCGGGTTCGGAGATGGGTTTAGACTATAAACCCTAATAAACACTAAACCCATCAGGGTTTCCAAGGGTAAGGGTTTATGGGTTTGCCGGGCATTTCGCCGAGTAGCTGGGGTGGGGGCTTGCCGATAGTTCCCTCTCAAAACAGCAAGCCCTATGAACTCCTGAATTTAAAACCTGAACCTGAATTTCGGCTTGCACAGCCCTCCCTCAAAACAAGAAGTGCCCGCAGAACAGATTTATGGAACTTGAGGCATCAGCCACGCCGGCTCAAGCCAGAAACACCCCAAATCGGAACACGAACACACACACACACATGCCTCTTGCAGACCGACACAACCCAACCGATAGCAGTACATGCACAAGGCCCCTGCATTGGGCTATGGCGGCTGTGAGTATGATAGCGTAGGTTATGAGTCCCAGAGCCTTGCCTTGTATAGTAGCCCTCCCTGTCCTGAACCCTGAAGCCTCAAGCCTAAACCCCAGCTTAAGAAACCCCAAACCTACATGTTTTGCAGGTTGCCTAAGACTCCTGTATCGGGATTTTAGAATAAGAGCCTGCCAAAGAAACAGGCTTTGGGTTCTTAAGGAACCCCTATACCCTAAACCCTAAACCCTAGACCCTAAACCCTAAACCCCTAAACCCTAAACCCTGAACCCTGAACCCTAAACCCTAAACCCCAAACCCGAACTCCAAGAGCTGCTTCGGCCAAGGGCAAAGCGGACTGCTCGTGGAAGGACCCTTGGCTCAGAAAAAGCAGCCCTAGGGTGCGATGTTTTGGGGGTTCCCTGTTTAGGGTTTAGGGTTTGGGGTTTGGGGTTTGGGGTTTAGGGTTTAGGGTTTAGGGTTTAGGGTTTAGGTGTGGGTTCAGGGCAAAAAAAGTGTTCAGAGTTTGGGTTTGGGGCTTCCCCTCAGTGCCAAATAACTGCAAGCTTCAAGTGTATGATTTTGGCCGTACCAGGGCCCGGGAAACCAGAACTTCTATAATAGAAGCATTACATTGCATGGCTTTCTTATCAAGGGTCTCCAGAAGTGGTATATCCTAGAGTCAATATTTTTCTATCTTAATTCTTTTACTTTCATATCTTTCCTAATCCTTTCTATAATCTCAGAATTTGGAGGTGGTACAGGATGAACATTTTTCCACCATTATCCACTTCTTTTATGACTTTATCACCTTCAAGTACAGGAAATGTCATATTTGGATTATTAATCTCTGGTATATCTTCATGTCTTACATCTCTTAACTTTTGTGCAAGCCAGATGCCTCTTTGGAGGTGTTTCAGCCGAAGATGCAGCCAAGAATAAGTCTGAGTAGTTATTGTAGTTATACAGGGTTTAGAAAGGGCATGATGTTGGCAAGTGCCCTAGGCCTCTGGAAGCATTCATTCGGAATTCTCGTCCAGCAGAACAAGAGTAGCGGGCTTAGCGGGTCAAAATGGGACATCCGACCCCGAATTGCTATTGATGGGTTTTGGCGCCATTGTGGTCGCAGGGGGGGGGGGGGGGGGGGCAGCCGACGTTCTCTGTTTCAGGCCCAACACTGAACCCCTCAAGCCTTTAACACCCAAAGCCCTGAACCCTAAACCCTTACCTTAACCCATAACCCTAAACCTTAAACCCTAAACCCTAAATCCTAAACTAAGCCCCTCAGGCCAGGAAGTGGCTTCCACTCGACATGCCTGGACAGGGCCGCACTGTCACCGGAACTTGGCAAGAGTGCCAGCGGAGATGCTCGAAGGTCCGGGTGTCAGTTGAGGTTTAGGGTTTAGGGTTTAGGGTTTAGGGTTTAGGGTTTAGGGTTTAGGGTTTAGGGTTTAGGGTTTAGGGTTTAGGGTTTAGGGTTTAGGGTTTAGGGTTAGGGTTTAGGGTTTAGGGTTTAGGATGCAGGGTTTGCAACGCTGAACTTGGGCTTATGAATGAGGGTCAGGAATTACTTCGGGTTGGGATGTTTTTCTTTTGATTTTTGGCTGTCTCTAGCATTAAGTCTACTGAGCTCATCGCTCCCTCGACCATGAAAAGCCCGACTACGGCTTGATACTTCAGGTCTCCGGCTGCAGCCATTTCAGTTGGTGGAGTGCCTGGGTCCCTGCTTAGAAACTTGTTTGGCTTTAGGCAGGATAAGACCCCAAAGAAGGATTGTTTTCAGCTGCACCGCATCCAGGTGATGGTGGCTGCCACATTCAGGAGCTACACTTCCACCCCTTGTAGAAGATGTTGTGCATCAAGTGCATCTGGGAGGGCGCCACAGAGTCACATACAAGAATGGCCGGCCTAAACCCTATAAACCCGAAGCCCCAAACCCTAAACCCGATACCCTAAACCCTAAACCCGAAACCCTAAACCCTAAACCCTAAACCCTAAACCCTAAACCCTAAACCTGCCAGCGCTGCAGGACAGCACTTCAACGGAAGCGATCACGGGAAACCATGTCACATCCGGACCACCATCCTGCTGGGCACCTCGGCCTCAGCTTGGTGGCCGTAGGGTTTAGGGTTTAGGGTTTTAGGGTTTAGGGTTTAGGGTTTAGGGTTTAGGGTTTTAGGGTTTTAGGGTTTTAGGGTTTTAGGGTTTTAGGGTTTTAGGGTTTAGGGTTTAGGGTTTAGGGTTTAGGGTTTACGGTTTAGGGTTTAGGGTTTATAGGCTAAGCAGGCGGGTTGTGACAGGTTTGCCATCAGCTGTCGCACCTTGAAGAGAGGCCCCCGACGACGGCTTGGAGTGCGACTACTTCTACCATCAGTCCCACTGCGACGTCCCTGATCTGGGGGCCTTGTGCCTTGGCAGAACGCTAAACCCTAAACCCTAAACCCTAAACCCTAAACCCTAAACCCTAAACCCTAAACCCTAAACCCTAAACCCTAATAAACCCTAAACCCTAAACCCTAAACCCTAAACCCTAAACCCTAAACCCTAAACCCTAAACCCTAAACCCTAAACCCTAAACCCTAAACCCCATCCACTTGTGCCCCACCTGCGCATTGCGATTTGTTGCCGGCCGCCAGGACACCGGCCCACACCGTCCTGGTGCCGGACATCTTCATGGACCGGGGGCCGCGGCATCCCTAAACCCTAAACCCTAAACCCTAAACCCTAAACCCTAAACCCCAAACCCTAAACCCTAAAGAGGGAGTGAGTGCAATTAAAAGCGCAGCATCCCTATGCTTGGTGCCGCCTCAAGACGTCTACCCAACAAAGGTGCTACTCTTAAGAGTAGGGTTTAGGGTTTAGGGTTCAGGGTTCAGGGTTCAGGGTTCAGGGTTTAGGGTTTAGGGTTTAGGGTTTAGGGTTTAGGGTTTAGGGTTTAGGTTGTAGTTTGCCAGGAACACGGCAAGTTCCCCGACCAGCGCCATGGTGATAACTTCTGCATGAGGCGGGGCGTTGCGTGTCGGCGGGTTCCATGTGGAGCGGCGGCAGAGGCAATAGCCCTAAACCCTAAACCCTAAACCCTAAACCCTAAACCCTAAACCCTAAACCCTAAACCCTAAACCCTAAACCCTAAACCCTAAACCCTAAACCCTAAACCCTAAACCCTAAACCCTAAACCCAACAAACTTTTCACCTCCAGGTGCAGAGGCCGCCTTCTCACCAAAAACGGGGGCGACTACAAGTTCTTCCTCAACTCAGATGACGGTCCCTGGAAAGGGCATGGAGGGATGGCAGAGTTTCGTGTGTGTAGGGTTTAGGGTTTAGGGTTTAGGGTTTAGGGTTTAGGGTTTAGGGTTTAGGGTTTAGGGTTTAGGGTTTAGGGTTTAGGGTTTAGGGTTTAGGGTTTAGGGTTTTTTCACCAATGTGCACGCAGGGGTTGTAAAAAATTGGGGGATTTGAGGGTAGATGCTGGCAGAGGTCCCTCGTAGCCAAAGCAAGAGACTAATGCATTGAATGCTGAGATCGTCTGGGGTGGTTTGTGAGCCGGGCACCACACATATGGTTTTGGGTTTTGGGTTTTGGGTTTAGGACTAGGAATGATGCAACTGCGTGGTCTTGATGCCTGCACAACGCATTGATGGTTTCACGCGTGCTTATTTGCATTGACGGACTTCCGGACAGTGGCCATACCAGCCACATGCAAATGTGAGCGTTGAAATCGAAACCCCGTTAAATTAACAAAAGCCCGAAGCCCCAGAATCTTAAGAACTGAGCCACAGCACAAAACCAAACCCCCCAGCTATGGAGGGGTGGTGGAAGGTCCATGGTCGCAGGTTCCATGGTCTTGCATCCTTCCATGTGCCAAACCCCGCTCTTCCTGCGCATGTTGCCGATCCCATGTTGGTGCTTGAAACGCCCGGTGTCGTCGTGGGCTCTTGGTCAGGGTCGTTTCGTGCCTCCATACGTGTTTTCCCATTCCCATGAGCGCGGTGCCCGTCAAGTTCAGAACTGTCCTTCAGGTCGTTGTGTGGGTGGCTTTCCTCTGTTAAGCTCTACATGAGCACAGAAAGTCGTTGAAAGCCACTCGCTCCTTCATCTGCTTTTAAAGGCTCCCTGCTGTACTTGGACGGGGAGAAGATCGTCGACAACAACGGCTGCCATCCGGCTCGGGAGAGGAGCGGCGTAAAGTTCATGAAGCCAGGTTCCCACGACTTGGTGGTGGACTTTTGCGAAGTGGACGGCGGCGAGAGCGTGAAGTTCGAGTACGAGGGCCCGGATAGCCACAACTCCAGGGTCAAGGTCCCCAAGACAGTGCTGAAGCACGAGGCCCCCCAGCTCAAAGCGTTGTTTTTGGACCATGTACATGTGGGACATGTCGCGATGTCACCCCTCAGCTGGATCCTATGATTGTGTGGCCTGGACTCTGATCCCTGCGTCGAATAGGCTGTTTTTGTTTGGAGTGCAGCTAGGTGCAGTTTTTTTTTTCTAGCTTTGCGGACGTGAAGTGCACCCGAAAGGTTCTTGAGGACGGCGTGGAGTGCGACTACTTCTACCAGCAGTCCCACTGCGACGTCCCTGATCTGGGGCCCTTGTGCCTCAGCAGAGAGCTGCACTCGGCCTAAACCCTAAACCCTAAACCCTAAACCCCAAACCCTAAACCCTAAACCCTAAACCTTAAACCCTAAACCTTAAGCACACATCAGGAACCCGAGCCAGACCATCACGGTGCCCGAAATCTTTATGGACTGGGCTGCAACATCTCAGGGCTTAGGGTTTAGGGTTTAGGGTTTAGAGTTTAGGGTTTAGGGTTTAGGGTTTAGGGTTTAGGGGTCACGTGCAGCCAGGAGCAGGGCCGGTGGCCCCAGATACGCCACAGCGATCATTTCTGCACCAGGCGCGCTGGGGGATGCAGGCAAGACTATTGTTTCGATTTCTATGATTGTCGCTATTATTATTTCTATTATTTTATATTACTATCATTACTACTATCATTATTGGAAAAAACTATTTTTACTATTGTTATTCCTATTTTACTCTCAGCATTACTATTACTAGTTAGTACTATGATTAGCAGCCTCTGACCCTTGACCTGCAGGTGCCGGGGCAAGCTTGTGACCAAGAGAGCGGGCGACTACACGTTCTTCCTCAGCTCAGATGACGGCGCCTGGACGGAGAAGGGCATATATATATATATATGCACAAAAAGCTACATATATATGTATATATGTATATGTATATATAATTTAATATAATATATCGGATGTTCAAGGTGTTTCAAGTTCTTGTTGCGGAGCTCTCCTCGTCTGTTTTGGAGGTTCCCTGCTGTACTTGAACGGGGAAAGGATCGTCGACAACAACGGCTGCCATGCGATACGGGAGATCAGCGGCAACAAGTACCATGGGAACAAATGAACCCCGAAAATTGGGGGGGTCATATGCCCTATCCTGCTGCAATTCCTATTGAAGTCTTTGAACCATAAGACCCTTCTAGGGTTCATTTGGCCCCCAAGGTACCTGGAACCAGGTTCCCACGACTTGGTGGTGGACTTTTGCGAAGTGGCTGGCTTCGAGACCCTACGGTTTGAATACCAGGGTCCAGACAGCACCAACTCGAAAGTCGTCGTTCCCAAGACGGCTCTCAAGCACAAGGCGGCTCATCTTATCGCTCCTGCGCTGGGCTTCGCGTGCTTGAATCACAAGTGTTTGTTCTACCAAGTTGCTGCTTCGAATGCACCGTGTGAGTCATGCTGCCAGGGTTTACAGGTTGGCTAGTGGCTCAAGAGTCTTATTTTTAGTTTTGTCCCTGACAGGCCGCCTTTCTTCGGAGTCCATGCAGCCTTGTTTTTCTCAAGGGGGGGGGGGGAGGTACCCACACGGCCCCAGAAATCCTTACCCTAAACCCTTGTGAACCCTAAACCCAAACCCGAAACCCTAAACCCTAAACCCTTTTGGCTGCTTGTGCTGCAGGTCCAGGTCCCCCACCGCGGAGGTGCCAGCGATTGCTACGCAGAGCGAACGCTGGTTGCAGACGAGGGCTCGGGCACCAAGGCTGCATTGCAGTTTAGGGTTTAGGGTTTAGGGTTTAGGGTTTAGGGTTTAGGGGTTAGGGTTTAGGGTTTAGGGTTTAGGGTTTAGGGGTAAACCGAATGAACCCTACTACTCAGGGCTTATGGCACATATACCTTTATCGGAAATGTAGTAGGCTAGGGTATATTAGAACCCAATTTTAGGGTTCATCTGGTCCCCAAGCTTTAAAAAGGGTTCTTTTTGAGGAGGGTGGGTACCTCGGAAACCTTAAGGAAGCTTAAGGGAGCCTTAGGGAATAGTTGGGAGTTCTAGGGAGCCTTGAGTTACATACCCCTCTTGAACCCCTCCCCCCCCCTTAAGGACCCTTTTAGTTTGGCGAACGGCCTTGCATCAGAGCTCGGGAGACCACCGGGCTCCGCCCCCTCGTAGCCCTAAACCCGAATAAACCCTAAACTTTGAGGAGTGAGGGTTTTAGAGTTCGGGCTTAGGGCTTGTAAGAGTTTTTGGTAAAGTTAAGCCCTATAAAGGCCTAAACTGAAAAACGCCTTGCCCAGAAATCCGAAACCCTAAGCTCTGAAACCTGGGCAGGATTGTGGGCTTATAAGCGCTTGTCAGTCGGCCTTAAGATGACCTTCTCCACACAGCACTTATGTTCTGGGGTTGTGGGTGTGAGGTTGAGCGCGGGCGCTGCGGCGCCCCTATCCGTGACGGTTTCACCATGATCTTTGAGGGTGGTGTTGCTGACAAGGGAATGGCACTGGCGTGAGCTCATGCCCGTAGCCTTCCCTTCTATACAGGCACAACTCTTGGCACTTGGCACCCTTAACGTCAGAGTTTGGAGTCTTGGTGTAAACTCTGCGCCTGAAACTGTTGCCCAAAACCCTAAACCCTAAAACCCTAAACCCTAAAACCCTAAACCCTAAAGCCTAAACCCTAAACCCCTACCCAGATTTGTCGCAGAGAGTTCGGATCTCACCTCGGCTTAAGGAGTGGGCCAGCTCCCCGACAAGCACGGCAGCATTTCGGAATGCCAGGCCGGCACTTAGAGTTTCGGGTTTAGGGTTTAACCCTAAACCCTAAACCCTAAACCCTAAACCCTAAACCCTAAACCCTAAACCCTAAACCCAGAAGTGCAATTCCTTAAATGTTTGCACCATGGGATCTCAAGGGAGGACCCCCCAATACCCGAAAGGAACCCCTCCCCCTGCCCTTCCCAATGAATGACCCGGATCTCTCTTCATGGTCCCTCGGTGGCCTCTCTTTCTTCTAGGGTTTAGGGTTTAGGGTTTAGGTTTAGGGTTTAGGGTTTAGGGTTTAGGGGTTTCGTGGCCCTCCTTCGGTACCTACGATGTATCTGTTTTTGGGGGTTTAGGGTTTAGGGTTTAGGGCTTCGGGTTTAGGGTTTCGGCTGCTTCGCGACAAGGCCTCTTGTGGTTCGCGTCTTACGTAAGCCTCGCAGGCGGAATGCTCCAAAATTGGCGAGTGCAAGAGCTTTGCCTACTGCGCCAGCAGCGGCATTTGCCATTACAGGAGCCACGTCTGATCTTCTGCAACTGACCCTCTATACTTAGTAGTAGAGTAGGTAACCTTTCACCTCTTTTGGGTATTCTAATCCCAATGAAAATCCCAAAGGTTAACCTGCAACTCCCCCAGGTTACTGGAGAACTAAGTGTAACCCCCAAACCTTAAATCCCATGTACGGTCCCGTGTCGCACCCACCCCTGAACCCAACTCACCCAAACCCTCGACCCGAAAACCTTAAGCCCTAAAGCCTGTATCCCTTCAAAGCCCTAAGCAAAATCCACAAAACCTTGGAAAAAACCCTAAGCCCCAAACCCCTAACCCCTAAACTCTAAACCTTAAACCCTAAACCCCTAGAACCCAAAAGTCCAGAATCCTACATCGCACCCCCCGGCCACAGGGGGCGACCACATAGGGACATAGGGGAGCCGGACCATGGGGGGTTTAGGGTTTAGGGTTTTGGGCTTCGGATCGACTGCTCCAAGGCCCCGAACCACCAATTTTGGGTCAATCAAGAGCCTCCAAAGCCATGCCACCTCAGGGGTGGTGCCTGAATTTTTGCATGCTGTCTCAAATGCGCGCGTCCGCCTCCTACGCGCGCCAGGTCGAAGTACGCCCCGTGAGGCAGCACGCAATTATTCATGCAGCATGCAACTCGAGGCAGCGTGGCTAGGAAGGCCGTAGAGTTAAGGCAAGCGTTCCTGTAACGAGATTCTCTCTTTTTCAAGGGTTTTAGGGTATATCAGGAACACCCCCCCCCCCCCAATTTCGAAATATCCACATGGGGTCTACGGTACAAGACCCCAAATGACATTGCAGGCAATTGGTGACCCAGGTAAGCCAAGGTTTTCGGCTTAAGGGTTTAGGGTTTAGGGTTACTTGCTTGTTCTTCTTCGGGAATCATGGAAAGGGGTGTTTTGATCCCCCTATTCAACGGGAGCCCAACATAAGACCTACGCCCATCTCGCGACGAGGAACCGGAAAGTTCAGAGAGGTAAGGGCTCCCCTGAGTTCTGAGTTTAGGGTTTAGGGTTTACGGTTTAGGGTTTAGGGTTTCGGGTCTACTGTTCGATTGCGTTTCGGGAACATCTTTAGCTTTTAGTTGTGATGCAACCCTAAACCCTTTATAAACCCCAAGCCCTATGTTTAGTCCCTAAGCCCCCGTCAGCATCAACAAGGGCTGCCAAGAACAGTGGATCTTACTTAGCCAACCGCTCAAAGTTGAACGTTTTTTGGGATGCTGGAATGATAATTTTGAAACCTAGGACTTACTAGGGCGTGAAATCGCCCTGCTGCGTTTTTTTTGCAATGTTTGCTGTCCATTATGGAAACCGATATGGCGGCGATGCAAAATCAAATTCACAATCTATTGTCATCAGATGCTGTTTATTCCACATAGTGAGTTCTGGTATCAGCCGGTATTTAACTTAAACGTATCAGAGCAAATGGCCGCTAACCAGACATACTCTCAGGTATAATCTTCGCCCAAGCTAGCAATGTAAATGCTTTTTGCTGGTTGGTGAAAATTTGATGTCAGTTCTTGATTGCCTAAATGAATGACATTGTTAAACTGCCGTTCAACTAGTTCAGACTAAGCCTATGGATGCTGATGCAAGTTAGCTTTTCACCTTGAGCGCCGAAGTTGACTTGGGGGCATCGGTTGTCCCAGTTGCTGTCCTTCAGGATTTGTTCAATGCTACCGGCCATCCAAAGATATACATTGACATGAGTTTGGCAATGTTTTTGACTTCCAATTATGGCAAACAAACAGCAAAAGCATTCATTTGTTTATTGCTTTCTTTGCACGTTGGTTTTGCATTGCCTACAAACTAAAGACGCAATATATGCAAACTAGATCACTAGAACGAATAGAACGCTGATCCAATCGTTTTACGTTTGTTCAATACTAAGTAACAGAGATACTTCAACACAATCAAAAAAAGTATTTGAAGACGAATTAACGCACAAGCACAGGATTTCATTTCATCCGAATGCCACAATTTGCAAGAAACAGCTAGAAAGCAATTTTCTTGGAAATGCAGAACGGGCCGAGTAAAGACCACCGTCGTTGTCGTCGTCGTAGTAGTAGAAGTAGTGGTTGGATAACCTACGATCCAAAAACAATAACAAACAAAGACCAAAAGAAACACTACCGCAAGTAACAAAACAACAGTACCAAGCAACAGCGCAGAGAAGGGATCAGGAACTGCTGGGAACAAGTTCGATCACGCCCAGCCTCCAAAAGTTTCCGAGACATGGTGCTTGTTGTTGTTCTGGTGTTGTTTTCTTGTGTTGCTGATTGTTGTGTAAACTTTTGGCCCAGTGGAGTGCGCAAGCAGCACGCAATGTTGGTCGTACTGTATTGTTTTTTGAGTTATTGTTGTTGCTCTTGGCTGTCTTTTGCTGGACGGGAACCCTTTATCACCCCCTGAACCCGAACTTTAAAAACCACGAACCCCTTGCCGATATGCCCTAAAACCTAAACCCTAAACCCTAAACCCTAAACCCTACTTAAACCCTGAACACCCAGCCAGGACGAAGGTCCTCGGCGCCCATGATCCTTCCACCACGGATCCGAGCCTCGATCATGTTCGAGAACTCCAAGAATAGCAAGAGATGGGTTGAGGCTGTATTTAGGGGTTTAGGGTTTGGGGTTTGGGTTTGGGGTTTAGGGTTTAGGGTTTAGGGTTTAGGGTTGCCGTTAAGGCCCTAAACCCCTTTGGAGCTTAGGGTTTATCTAAGGTCGGAACCATGTGCACTTAGTATGGTCCCATACCCTTGTGTAAAGGGATCCGAAGTATGGGCCCTTATTATGTATCTTTCGGAAGCACATGTAGCCTTGACTCCGCACCGTGGCTTGAAATGGCTACTCAGCGGGCCCCCTCCGCTGATCTACATAGCGGGTACCCCGCATCCTGAAATCAACTTGACCCTCCGGAGCCCTTCGCTTCACTAAGGGCAAAGCTGCAAGACTGCAAGTCTTGGTACAAGACAGAGTGCAAGGACAGCCAGACCTCCCTGGCGTGTTAAGGTGTACACAGTGGCCACGGTGGTTGAGGGCTTCGGTTCTGGGATGGTTGCTTTCCTAAGAGGGCTGTGTGTGTGCTGCAGCCACTGCTCAAGAGAAGGCTTTAGGATGTGAGGGCTCTTGGGATTCATGCGGCTTAACAGGATTGCTACGCAGAGCGGACGCTGGTTGCAGACGAGGGCTCGGGCACCGAGGCTGCATTGCAGTTTAGGGTTTAGGGTTTAGGGGTTAGGGTTTAGGGTTTAGGGTTTAGGGCTTAGGGCTTAGGGCTTAGGGCTTCGGGCTTAGGGCTTAGGGCTTAGGGTTTAGGGTTTAGGGGTAAACCGAATGAACCCTACTACTCAGGGCTTATGGCACATATACCTTTATCGGAAATGTAGTAGGCTAGGGTATATTAGAACCCAATTTTAGGGTTCATCTGGTCCCCAAGCTTTAAAAAGGGTTCTTTTTGAGGAGGGTGGGTACCTCGGAAACCTTAAGGAAGCTTAAGGGAGCCTTAGGGAATAGTTGGGAGTTCTAGGGAGCCTTGAGTTACATACCCCTCTTGAACCCCTCCCCCCCCCTTAAGGACCCTTTTAGTTTGGCGAACGGCCTTGCATCAGAGCTCGGGAGACCACCGGGCTCCGCCCCCTCGTAGCCCTAAACCCTAATAAACCCTAAACTTTGAGGAGTGAGGGTTTTAGAGTTCGGGCTTAGGGCTTGTAAGAGTTTTTGGTAAAGTTAAGCCCTATAAAGGCCTAAACTGAAAAACGCCTTGCCCAGAAATCCGAAACCCTAAGCTCTGAAACCTGGGCAGGATTGTGGGCTTATAAGCGCTTGTCAGTCGGCCTTAAGATGACCTTCTCCACACAGCACTTATGTTCTGGGGTTGTGGGTGTGAGGTTGAGCGCGGGCGCTGCGGCGCCCCTATCCGTGACAGTTTCACCATGATCTTTGAGGGTGGTGTTGCTGACAAGGGAATGGCACTGGCGTGAGCTCATGCCCGTAGCCTTCCCTTCTACACAGGCACAACTCTTGGCACTTGGCACCCTTAACGTCAGAGTTTGGAGACCCTAAACCCTAAACCCTATAAAACCCTAAAACCCTAAAACCCTAAAACCCTAAACCCTAAACCCTAAGCCCTACCCAGATTTGTCGCAGAGAGTGCGGATCTGACTTCGACTTAAGGAGTGGGCCAGCTCCCCGACAAGCACGGCAGCATTTCTGAATGCCAGGCCGGCACTTAGAGTTTCGGGTTTAGGGTTTAACCCTAAACCCTAAACCCTAAACCCTAAACCCTAAACCCTAAACCCAGAAGTGCAATACCTTAAATGTTTGCATCATGGGATCTCAAGGGAGGACCCCCCAATACCCGAAAGGAACCCCTCCCCCTGCCCTTCCCAAATGAATGACCCGGATCTCTCTTCATGGTCCCTCGGTGGCCTCTCTTTCTTCTTGGTCTAGGGTTTAGGGTTTCGGGTTTAGGGTTTAGGTTTTAGGGTTTAGGGTTTAGGGGTTTCGTGGCCCTCCTTCGGTACCTACGATGTAACTGTTTTTGGGGTTTAGGGTTTAGGGTTTAGGGCTTCGGGTTTAGGGTTTCGGGTGCTTCGCGACAAGGCCTCTTGTGGTTCGCGTCTTACGTAAGCCTCGCAGGCGGAATGCTCCAAAATTGGCGAGTGCAAGAGCTTTGCCTACTGCGCCAGCAGTGGCATCTGCCATTACAGGAGCCACGTCTGATCTTCTGGAACTGACCCTCTATACTTAGTAGTAGAGTAGGTAACCTTTCACCTCTTTTGTATTCTAATCCCAATAAAATCCCAAAGGTTAACCTGCAAGTCCCCAGGTTACTGGAGAACTAAGTGTAACCCCCAAACCTTAAATCCCATGTACGGTCCCGTGTCGCACCCACCCCTGAACCCAACTCACCCAAACCCTCGACCCGAAAACCTTAAGCCCTAAAGCCTGTATCCCTTCAAAGCCCTAAGCAAAATCCACAAAAGCTTGGAAACCCTAAGCCCCAAACCCCTAACCCCTAACCCCTAAACCCTAAACCCTAAACCTTAAACCCTAAACCCCTAGAACCCAAAAGTCCAGAATCCTACATCGCACCCCCCGGCCACAGGGGGCGACCACCTAGGGAGATAGGGGAGCCGGACCATGGGGGGTTTAGGGTTTAGGGTTTTGGGCTTCGGATCGACTGCTCCAAGGCCCCGAGCCACCCATTTTGGGTCAATCAAGAGCCTCCAAAGCCATGCCACCTCAGGGGTGCCTGAATTTTTGCATGCTGTCTCAAATGTGCGCATCCGCCTCCTACGCGCGCCAGGTCGAAGTACGCCCCGTGAGGCAGCACGCAATTATTCATGCAGCATGCAACTCGAGGCAGCGTGGCTAGGAAGGCCGTAGAGTTAAGGCAAGCGTTCCTGTAACGAGATTCTCTCTTTTTCAAGGGTTTTAGGGTATACCAGGAACACCCCCCCCCCCTATTTCGAGATATCCACATGGGGTCTACGGTACAAGACCCCAAATGACATTGCAGGCAATTGATGACCCAGGTAAGCCAAGGTTTTCGGCTTAAGGGTTTAGGGTTTAGGGTTTAGGGTTTAGGGTTTAGGGTTACTTGCTTGTTCTTCTTCGGGAATCATGGAAAGGGGTGTTTTGATCCCCCTATTCAACGGGGGCCCAACATAAGACCTACGCCCATCTCGCGACGAGGAACCGGAAAGTTCAGAGAGGTAAGGGCTCCCCTGGGTTCTGAGTTTAGGGTTTAGGGTTTAGGGTTTAGGGTTTAGGGTTTCGGGTCTACTGTTCGATTGCGTTTCGGGAACATCTTTAGCTTTTAGTTGTGATGCAACCCTAAACCCTTTATAAACCCCAAGCCCTATGTTTAGTCCCTAAGCCCCCGTCAGCATTAACAAGGGCTGCCAAGAACAGCGGATCTTACTTAGCCAACCGCTCAAAGTTGAACGTTTTTTGGGATGCTGGATTGATAATTTTGAAACCTAGGACTTACTAGGGCGTGAAATCGCCCCGCTGCGTTTTTTTGCAATGTTTGCTGTCCATTATGGAAACCGATATGGCTTCGATGCAAAATCAAATTCACAATCTATTGTCATCAGATGCTGGTTATTCCACATAGTGAGTTCTGGTATCAGCCGGTATTTAACTTAAACATATCAGAGCAAATGGCCGCTAACCAGACATACTCTCAGGTATAATCTTCGCCCAAGCTAGCAATGTAAATGCTTTTTGCTGGTTGGTGAAAATTTGATGGCAGTTCTTGATTGCCTAAATGAATGACATTGTTAAACTGCCGTTCAATTAGTTCAGACTAAGACTATGGATGCTGATGCAAGTTAGCTTTTCACCTTGAGCGCCGAAGTTGACTTGGGGGCATCGGTTGTCCCAGTTGCTGTCCTTCAGGATTTGTTCAATGCTACCGGCCATCCAAAGATATACATTGACATGAGTTTGGCAATGTTTTTGACTTCCAATTATGGCAAACAAACAGCAAAAGCATTCATTAGTTTATTGCTTTCTTTGCACGTTGGTTTTGCATTGCCTACAAACTAAAGACGCAATATATGCAAACTAGATCACTAGAACGAATAGAACGCTGATCCAATCGTTTTACGTTTGTTCAATTCTAAGTAACAGAGATACTTCAACACAATCAAAAAAGTATTTGAAGACGAATTAACGCACAAGCACAGGATTTCATTTCATCCGAATGCCACAATTTGCAAGAAACAGCTAGAAAGCAATTTTCTTGGAAATGCAGAACGGGCCGAGTAAAGACCACCGTCGTTGTCGTCGTCGTAGTAGTAGAAGTAGTAGTTGGATAACCCACGATCCAAAAACAACAATACCAAACAAAGACCAAAAGAAACACTACCGCAAGTAACAAAACAACAGTACCAAGCAACAGCGCAGAGAAGGGATCAGGAACTGCTGGGAACAAGTTCGATCACGCCCAGCCTCCAAGAGTTTCCGAGAAATGGTGCTTGTTGTTGTTCTGGTGTTGTTTTCTTGTGTTGCTGATTGTTGTGTAAACTTTGGCCCAGTGGAGTGCACAAGCAGCACGCGATGTTGGTCATACTGTATCGTTTTTGGAGTTATTGTTGTTGCTCTTGGCTGTCTTTTGCTGGACGGGAACCCTTTATCACCCCCTGAACCCGAACGTTAAAAACCACGAACCCCTTGCCGAGTTGCCCTAAACCCTAAACCCTAAACCCTAAACCCTAAACCCTAAACCCTAAACCCTACTTAAACCCTGAACACCCAGCCAGGACGAAGGTTCTCGGCGCCCATGATCCTTCCACCACGGATCCGAGCCTCGATCATGTTCGAGAACTCCAAGAATAGCAAGAGATGGGTTGAGGCTTTAGGGGTTTAGGGTTTAGGGTTTAGGGTTTGGGGTTTGGGGTTTGGGGTTTAGGGTTTAGGGTTTAGGGTTGTTGTTAAGGCCCTAAACCCCTTTGGAGCTTCGGGTTTATCTAAGGTCGGAACCACGTGCACTTAGTATGGTGCCATACCCTTGTGTAAAGGGATCCGATGTATAAGCCCTTTTTCTGTATCTTTCCGAAGCACATGTAGCCTTGACTCCGCGCTTGAAATGGCTATCCTGAAATCAATTTGATCGACCCTCCGGAGCCCTTCGCTTCACTAAGGGCAAAGCTGCAAGACTGCAAGTCTTGGTACAAGACAGAGTGCAAGGACAGCCACTCCTCCCTAGCGTGTTAAGGTGTACACAGTGGCCACGGTGGTTGAGGGTTTCGGTTTTGGGATGGTTGCTTACCTAAGAGGGCTGTGTGCGCTGCAGCCACTGCTCAAGAGAAGGTTTTAGGATGTGAGTGCTCTTGGGATTCATGCGGCTTAACAGGATTGCTACGCAGAGCGGACGCTGGTTGCAGACGAGGGCTCGGGCACCGAGGCTGCATTGCAGTTTAGGGTTTAGGGTTTAGGGTTTAGGGTTTAGGGTTTAGGGTTTAGGGTTTAGGGTTTAGGGTTTAGGGTTTAGGGTTTAGGGTTTAGGGTTTAGGGTTTAGGGTTTAGGGGTAAACCGAATGAACCCTACTACTCAGGGCTTATGGCACATATACCTTTATCGGAAATGTAGGAGGCTAGGGTATATTAGAACCCAATTTTAGGGTTCATCTGGCCCCCAAGGTTTAAGATAGGGTCCTTAAGGAGGAGGGCTGGGTACCTCGGAAGCCTTAAGGAAGCTTAGGGAGCCTTAGGGAGTAGTTGGGAGTTCTAGGGAGCCTTGGGTTACATACCCCTCTTGAACCCCCCGCCCCCCGCCGCTTAAGGACCCTTTTAGTTTGGCGAACGGCCTTGCATCAGAGCTCGGGAGACCACCGGGCTCCGCCCCCTCGTAGCCCTAAACCCTAAACCCTAAACTTTGAGGAGTGAGGGTTTTAGAGTTCGGGCTTAGGGCTTGTAAGAGTTTTTGGTCAAGTTAAGCCCTAAAGGCCTAAACTTTACAAAGCCTTGGCCAGAAATCCGAAACCCTAAACTCTGAAACCTGGGCAGGATTGTGGGCTTATAAGCGCTTGTCAGTCGGCCTTAAGATGACCTTCTCCACACAGCAAACCCTAAACCCTAAACCCTAAACCCTAAACCCTAAACCCTAAACCCTAAACCCTAAACCTAAACCCTGAACCCTAAACTGTGCAGGTTTATGTGGAAGATCCTTATATTCTGGGGTTGTGGGTGTGAGGTTGAGCGCGGCGCTGCGGCACCCCTATCCGTGACATGTTCACCATGATCTTTGAGAGTGGTGTTGCTGACAAGGTAATGGCACTGGCGTGAGCTCATCCCGTAGCCTTCCCTTCTACAGGCACAACTTGGCACCCTTAACGTCAGAGTTTGGAGTCTTGGTGTAAACTCTGCGCCTGAAACTGTTGCCCAAAACCCTAAACCCTAAACCCTAAAACCCTAAAACCCTAAAACCCTAAAACCCTAAAACCCTAAACCCTAAACCCTAAAGCCTTAACCCTAAACCCCTACCCAGATTTGTCGCAGAGAGTGCGGGTCTCACCTCGGCTTAAGGAGTGGGCCAGCTCCCCGACAAGCACGGCACCATTTCTGAATGCCAGGCCGGCACTTAGAGTTTCGGGTTTAGGGTTTAATCCTAAACCCTAAACCCTAAACCCTAAACCCTAAACCCAGAAGTGCAATACCTTAAATGTTTGCATCATGGGATCTCAAGGGAGGACCCCCCCAACACCTGAAAGGAACCCCTCCCCCCGCCCTTCCCAATGAATGACCCGGATCTCTCTTCATGGTCCCTCGGTGGCCTCTCTTTCTTCTTGGTCTAGGGTTTAGGGTTTAGGGTTTAGGGGTTTAGGGGTTTAGGGGTTTCGTGGCCCTTCTTCGGTACCTACGATGTAACTGTTTTTGGGGTTTCGGGTTTAGGGTCTAGGTCTTCGGGTTTAGGGTTTCGGGTGCTTCGCGACAAGGCCTCTTGTGGTTCGCGTCTTACGTAAGCCTCGCAGGCGGAATGCTCCAAAATTGGCGAGTGCAAGAGCTTTGCCTACTGCGCCAGCAGCGGCATCTGCCATTACAGGAGCCACGTCTGATCTGTTGGAACTGACCCTCTTTACTTAGTAGTAGAGTAGGTAACCTTTCACCTCTTTTGTATTCTAATCCCAATAAAAATCCCAAAGGTTGACCTGCAATTCCCCCAGGTTACTGGATAACTAAGTGTAACCCCCAAACCTTAAATCCCATGTATGGTCCCGCACCCACCCCTGAACCCAACTCACCCAAACCCTCGACCCGAAAACTTTAAGCCCTAAAGCCTGTATCCCTTCAAAGCCCTAAGCAAAATCCACAAAACCAGGAACACCCCCCCCCCCCCCCCCATTTCGAAATATCCACATGGGGTCTACGGTATAAGACCCCAAATGACATTGCAGGCAATTGGTGACCCAGGTAAGCCAAGGTTTTTGGCTTAAGGGTTTAGGGTTTAGGGTTTAGGGTTTAGGGTTACTTGCTTGTTCTTCTTCGGGAATCATGGAAAGGGGTGTTTTGATCCCCCTATTCAACGGGGGCCCAACATAAGACCTACGCCCATCTCGCGACGAGGAACCGGAAAGTTCAGAGAGGTAAGGGCTCCCCTGGGTTCTGAGTTTAGGGTTTAGGGTTTAGGGCTTAGGGTTTCGGGTCTACTGTTCGATTGCGTTTCGGGAACATCTTTAGCTTTTGGTTGTGATGCAACCCTAAACCCTTTATAAACCCCAAGCCCTATGTTTAGTCCCTAAGCCCCCGTCAGCATTAACAAGGGCTGCCAAGAACAGCGGATCTTACTTAGCCAACCGCTCAAAGTTGAACGTTTTTTGGGATGCTGGATTGATAATTTTGAAACCTAGGACTTACTAGGGCGCGAAATCGCCCCGCCGCGTTTTTTGCAATGTTTGCTGTCCATTATGGAAACCGATATGGCTGCGATGCAAAATCAAATTCACAATCTATTGTCATCAGATGCTGGTTATTCCACATAGTGAGTTCTGGTATCAGCCGGTATTTAACTTAAACATATCAGAGCAAATGGCCGCTAACCAGACATACTCTCAGGTAGAACCTTCGCCCAAGCTAGCAATGTAAATGCTTTTTGCTGGTTGGTGAAAATTTGATGTCAGTTCTTGATTGCCTAAATGAATGACATTGTTAAACTGCCGTTCAATTAGTTCAGACTAAGACTATGGATGCTGATGCAAGTTAGCTTTTCACCTTGAGCGCCGAAGTTGACTTGGGGGCATCGGTTGTCCCAGTTGCTGTCCTTCAGGATTTGTTCAATGCTACCGGCCATCCAAAGATATACTTTGACATGAGTTTGGCAATGTACTTGACTTCCAATTATGGCAAACAAACAGCAAAAGCATTCATTAGTTTACTGCTTTCTTTGCACGTTGGTTTTGCATTGCCTACAAACTAAAGACGCAATATATGCAAACTAGATCAATAGAACGAATAGAACGATGATCCAATCGTTTTGCGTTTGTTCCATACTAAGTAACAGAGATACTTCAACACAATCAAAAAAGTATTTGAAGACGAATTAACGCACAAGCACAGGATTTCATTTCATCCGAATGCCACAATTTGCAAGAAACAGCTAGAAAGCAATTTTCTTGGAAATACAGAACGGGGCCGAGTAAAGACCACTGTCGTTGTCGTCGTCGAACACTACCGCAAGTAACAAAACAACAGTACCAAGCAACAGCGCAGAGAAGGGATCAGGAATTGCTGGGAACAAGTTCGATCACGCCCAGCCTCCAAGAGTTTCCGAGACATGGTGCTTGTTGTTGTTCTGGTGTTGTTTTCTTGTGTTGCTGATTGTTGTGTAAACTTTGGCCCAGTGGAGTGCACAAGCAGCACGCAATGTTGGTCGTACTGTATTGTTTTTTGAGTTATTGTTGTTGCTGTTGGCTGTCTTTTGCTGGACGGGAACCCTTTATCACCCCCTGAACCCGAACTTTAAAAACCACGAACCCCTTGCCGAGTTGCCCTAAACCCTAAATCCTAAACCCTAAACCCTAAACCCTAAACCCTAAACCCTACTTAAACCCTGAACACCCAGCCAGGACGAAGGTTCTCGGCGCCCATGATCCTTCCACCACGGATCCGAGCCTCGATCATGTTCGAGAACTCCAAGAATAGCAAGAGATGGGTTGAGGCTTTAGGGGTTTAGGGTTTAGGGTTTAGGGTTTGGGGTTTGGGGTTTAAGGTTTAGGGTTTAGGGTTTAGGGTTAGGGTTGTTGTTAAGGCCCTACACCCCTTTGGAGCTTAGGGTTTATCTAAGGTCGGAACCATGTGCACTTAGTATGGTCCCATACCCTTGTGTGAAGGCATCCGAAGTATGGGCCCTTATTATGTATCTTTCCGAAGCACTTGTAGCCTTGACTCCGCACCGTGGCTTGAAATGGCTACTCAGCGGGCCCCCTCCGCTGATCTACATAGCGGGTACCCCGCATCCTGAAACCAATTTGATCGACCCTCCGGAGCCCTTCGCTTCACTAAGGGCAAAGCTGCAAGACTGCAAGTCTTGGTACAAGACAGAGTGCAAGGACAGCCACTCCTCCCTAGCGCGTTAAGGTGTACACAGTGGCCACGGTGGTTGAGGGTTTCGGTTCTGGGATGGTTGCTTACCTAAGAGGGCTGTGTGTGTGTGTGTGCTGCAGCCACTGCTCAAGAGAAGGCTTTAGGATGTGAGTGCTCTTGGGATTCATGCGACTTAACAGGGTCGAGGGGTTTTGTAAGGCAACACTTCCGCCCAACCTCTTATACTTAGCTTGGCAGCTGGATCCAAAAATCCTTACACCCCTAAACCCCAGTTCCCAAAAACCCTGAAAACCCCTAAACACCCTGAACCCTTAAGCCCTATACCCTAAATACAACAAAGCTAAAACCCTAACACCTAAACCCTAAAGGCTAAACCCTAAACCCTAAACCCTAAACCCTAAACCCTAAACCCTAAACCCTAAACCCTAAACCCTAAACCCTAAACCTGAGTCCTCGGCGTCGCAGGGCTAGGATGCGAACGTCAGGTCTCGGCGCGCTCTATAAGACGGTGTTCTAGTTGTGCAGGCTTTTGTCTTGAAGAGTTCGGGGTTTAGGGTTACAGGGTTATAGGGTTATAGGGTTATAGGGTTATAGGGTTATAGGGTTATAGGGTTATAGGGTTATAGGGTTATAGGGCTATAAGGTTTAGGGTTTAGGCTTTAGGGTTTCGGGTTCAAGGCTCGGTGGCCAGCGAAGAGGGCCTATAGAGGTGTAGCTTTTCAGAGGGTTTGAAAGTACATCCCTAAACGCAAGCCTGGTTTAGGGTTTAGGGTTCAGGGCTACTAAGCCCTGGAGCAGTGTTGAGGCCTTCATGGGCTGTCACGTTACCAGGTTTCATTGGCAGCTGCTGTCATTGTCGTGCTCTCGTCCATGCATTCAAGCCTCTGCTGCCCCTAAACCCGAGCCTAAGCCCTAAACCCCAAACCCCAAACCCTAAGCCCTACAAAGAAACACAGTCAGCTGAAGTCATCTCTTGGAGCATTTGTTGCGAATCTACTGCAGGACGAGGCGAAAGCCATGGTTGACACCTTCTTCGTGGTGGTGAATGGCACCTGGGCCAGTTAGGGTTTAGGGTTTAGGGTTTAGGGTTTAGGGTTTAGGGTTTAGGGTTTAGGGTTTAGGGTTTAGGGTTTAGGGTTTAGGGTTTAGGGTTTAGGGTTTAGGGTTTAGGGTTTAGGGTTTAGGGTTTCTGCTCTGGTTTTGGCCTTTCACAGGTGTTCATAGACTCATGGTCGCAATTCTCTCCTTGAAGTCGAGGCGGCCACGTGGAAGACAGGTTCAAGACCATTGAGGAAGCCAAGACGGAGTTGAACAAGATCGGTTCGGGCCTGCGCTTCTTGCTCGGCAGTCTGGGACATCACTGAGACCCAGTGCCTCAAGTCCTTAAGCCCTAAGCCCTATATTTCAACCCTACTTAGTCCTAACCCTATAAGCCCTACAACCCTTAAAACCAAGCCCTATCAACTCTAATCGCATGCACTCAGGAATGATCTGTGAAGTGCATCATGGCACCGCAAAGGCAGATCCGCACGTGCAGGCCTCAGGATGTCTACAAAAACTCGAGCAACTCTACGACTTTCTTGAGCACCACCCGAAAAACAGAATTGTAATCCCCAGATTGCCCTTAAAAGGAAGAGTAGAGAAAAACAAACCCCAGATTGCCCTTATTAGAGAAATATGTGTTGTTTTTTGGGCTGGGGGTTCTTAATTAAGCAAATCGTCGACAATCGCTACCGCTTCTGCTGCGCCTCTACCCGGCTGAGTAGTTCTCCCTGATGCTCTGAATAAGGTGGTGGGCGGACAGGACCAGGGGGCCGGACACAGCGCAGGATTCAACAAGCATTGGCAAGTGCCGAGCCTAAGATTTGATTTTTTGCTGACAACTTAAATTAAACCCTAAACCCTAAACCCTAAACCCTAAACTCTAAACCCTAAACCCTAAACCCTAAACCCTAAACCCTAAACCCTAAACCCTAAACCCCAAGCCATCCAGGGTGCCCATGTGTTAGGAACTGTAAGGGTGCAGAGCACTGAATTTGCACACCAGTTCCCAGTTTGTTTCTGGCTGAGTCGTGGGACGACATCCACGCCATGAATCGGATCTGCCAAGACTACGTCAACAATCAGGTCATGGCTCCCCCACAAACGGCGATGATCTTCCGTAAAGATGGCCAGCTTTTACCTGGCCCGCACCGAGACCACGGGTGTTGCTGGGGCAGGAGCGGGGAGAGTACGTAGCATTGTCATACTTAGGGTACTTATGGTTCCGCACTCGCAGGGATACAAAATAGACGGCTAGAACCAGTCGAGAATCATCTTCCCTGCCAGCACTTGAGGCCTGCAGGAGAGGCCCAAGGGATCAAATTCGGCTTCCAGTTCATCCAGATCGGCCAATTCCGGCTTGGTGCCGTTGATGACAACCACTTCTCAATCTCGTGCCATGGGCTGCAGTCAGGAAGTTGCTTGCTTTCGACATAATAAACCCTATAGACCTAAGCCCGTTCTGTCGTGCGTTTGGCACACGGCTGGAGCTACGCCCTGTGCAACTGCATGCTGTTGGCCAGAAATGCGAGTAAACTGACCTCCAAGACGCAAAGCGCACTATCTCGCAGCACCCCGAAGTCCCACTGGACTACACCGTGCCACTCCGAATGAACTTAAACCATCTGGCCTGCAATGGAACCAGGGTGGGCTATTAGGCCCTATAATCCCTATAATCCCTATAATCAACCCGATAAAGGGCCTTTTTAGGGGGTTATAGGGTATAATAGCCCGTCCTGGAAATTGAATCATCTCCACCCTCAGACCCCACCTCAAGCAACGAATGCTCTTGGGCCCAATGGCGAGGCCAAGAGAGAGTTTTCCCAGCTGAGGCACATTGGGGGACACACTCCCCAGCTCTTCCGACATGACGGCACGCTCCACCCGAACCAGCAAAACGACTCTTGGCGACTGTGATTTTGGATCCTGACTACGTGCTGTCTCATCGCATACACATCGCCTGAGCTGCGTTCTCAGTGCAACATATCCGGGCCCTTGCATGTCTTGAAGCTGCGACCTTCATTCGTAGGACGGGGCGTGCTTAGCTGACACGGGGGCGAGCCTAGGTGACCCCACCAGTCCTAAACCAAAACCCCTAAACCTATACTACCCAACTGTGATGGTGTCCAATATTTACGTTTACATGCGTGGTCCTCCCTAAACCCTAGCCCCTAAACCTAAACCCTAAACCCTGATGGTCCTTCAGACAAGGCATGGGGAACTTTCGATCGCCCGGAGGGGGCGCCTATGGGCATCAGCGTTGGTGAGAAGCTCCCCAGCGAAATCCCTTTAGGGTTTAGGGTTTAGGATTTAGGATTTAGGGTTTAGGGTTTAGGGTTTAGGGTTTAGGGTTTAGGGTTTAGGGTTTAGGGTTTAATCGCTTCCCCTTTTTTAAAATGGACCCCTAAAAAAAAAAAAAACACTTTCCGGAAAATCCTGCCGAAACCAACCCCGCCATTAAAACCCTATTCCGAATTAGGGGGGGGTTCAGGCCTCCAAGAAACCCCTCAACACCAATAAAACCCTCAGAGGGTTTAGGCTTGGGGGTCTCTCTTTCAGTTTATACCGCACTTACTTAAGTTGATTACTTGAGTAACCCTGAAGTCTAATGAGTTATGACATTTCGATAAGACTACCCCCTGATAATAAAAACGCTTTTCGAATTTCCAAAGGGGGAGGGGGGGGGGCCCGTTTAATATTAGGGGGATGGGATTAGGGTTGAGGGTTTAGGGTTTAGGATAGGGGCTTCCAGTTCATTGGGTCATAAATCGCGGAACCATGCCCCAGCAATAGTAAGGGAGCCCCTACCAGTACATGAATGGTGCATGAGCACAAGTACACCTTGTGCTGTTCAGGTCAACCGTGTGGGAGGGGGGGGGGGAGGAGAGCTTTTGTATTTATAGTGGGCTACCTACCTGATTACCCCCCCCCCCCCCCCCCCCGTCCCATAGGAGAGCTTTTGTATTTATAGTGGGCTACCTACCTGATTACCCCCCCCTCCCCCCCCCCCCGTCCCATATGATTCCTAAGCCCTGTGAGGGCAGAGATCGCAGCAGGTTCATCCAAATGGGCAATTTCCGGCTGGGAGATGCCGATGGCCCTTTCCTGGTGACGCACCGCGTCACTGGCAAAACGATCCAGGTCTACCAGGACGGGCTAATTATGCCCTATTAACCCCCGAAAAGGGCAGTTTCTCGGGTTGACTATAGGGATTGTAGAGCCTAATAGCCCATCCTGGTACAAGGAGGATGGAACGGTGCAACCGGACGCGAACTCCCACTGGGCACCGAAAGTGATGGACCGCAAGCCCTCGGCGTGGACATGCCAGGATGTCGCTGAGATGGCGTACGGGCCCTGCAATAGCGACTCTTGTCTCTTGAACCCTAAACCCTGAACCCTGAACCCTGAACCCTCCCTAAACCCTAAACCCTAAACCCTGAACCCTAAACCCTAAACCCTAAACCCTAAACCCTAAACCCTAAACCGAAGCTGGCATCATGAACTTCGCAGGGCTAATGTTGCGCTCCCTGGTTTGAAGGTTTCTCAAAAGTGTGTTGTGGGTTCAGAAGTCTGCTTGGCATGCCAGGCAGGCATTAGATAAACCCTAAACCCTAACCCCTGAACTCTAAACCCTTCTGCTAGGCGGGTGGCAAAAAAACCCTAAACCCTAAACCCTAAACCCTAAGCCCTAAACCCTAAATAAGGACTTCGGCTCCTGGGGAGATCGCTTCATCCAGCTGGGGGATTGGCGCCTGGCGGCCACCAATGATCGGCACCTCAGCATCTCGCACAAGGATGCCTGGCCCTTGAGCAACTTTGTGTTTAGGGTTTAGGGTTTAGGGTTTAGGGTTTAGGGTAACTTTAGATCCTTACCTTTTTGGGGTTTATTGGGTTTCTTAAGAAGCCAGCTAAAATTTTAATTTTTAGCTACCCCCCTAAGTGCAGCCAAGGCAAGTTCCTGAATCCAAAAAGGGCTTAGGGTTCATATTACCTTAGTAGGAAGTACGGTAGGATAGGGTAGCTGGCCCCAATTTTAGGGTTCATTTGGTTCCCAGGGTTGTTTTCATGCAATTTGCAACTTCGTTGCCTTTTTGGACTGGTCACATGAGGTCCACTGAGCACGCGTGAGGCTTGTTACAACCCGGTGTGGGCGCACACCACCCGTGTTGATCCCTAAACCCTAAACTTTAAACCCTAAACCCTAAACCCTAAACCCTAAACCCTAAACCCTAAACCCTAAACCCTAAACCCTAAACCCTAAACCCTAAACCTTGACCCAGGATGGCCAAGTTGCCCAGATCTACCGAGACGATGGGACGCTCCACCCTGGCCCTCGTACAGATCAGTATGGATGGGCCACTTGGGCTCAGGGTTCGGGGGGTTTAGGGTTTAGAGGTTTCGGGGTTTAGTGTCTAGAGGTTTAGGGTTTTTAGGGTTTAGGGTCTAGGGTCTAGGGTTTAGGGTTTAGGGTTTAGGGTTTAGGGTGGTCGTGTTTCATCTACGCTGCTACGTAGAGATTCTGCTATTTATCTTAGGGTTTCAAGGGGCCACCGACGAGGAACCCCGGAATCCCAGGGGCCAAACAGGCTTTGCTCGCCCAATATCCCGAGAAGCTCTGGAGATGTATGGTACTGAAATCTATTGCAGGGGTAGAGAGGGAGCGAGAGAGCGAGAGAGCGAGAGAGGGAGAGAGAGAGTATGGCGTGAGCCCTACACCCTAAACCCTAAACCCTAAACCCTAAACCCTAAACCCTAAACCCTAAACCGGTTTGCGGGTCGCCTGATGCGCTGCAGGGCCGGCCAATTGGCTACCCCTACTATGAGTTGGAAGCATGACACACGTTTCACATGAGGTTCTGAGCTTGTGCAGGACTGAACTCTGTCTGCAGGGTGGGATTTCTCGAGCCACGCAGGAAAAGATAGGGAGCGAGGCCTGTGGGCCTGCTGATGTTGTGGCACACTGCTACTTTCATGGTAGCGGGAGCCCTGGTTCAGGGTGACCGCTTGAGAAAAAGGTGATCCGTGCTTAGATGGCTGGCAGAGATTTTGATGCCGTGCCGACGTGGAATGGAGATCCAGGGACCTTTCAGACATTTGAAGTGGCCTGCAAGTGGTATGAGAAGACCTTGAAAGACACTGAGCGGCGAGGTGCAGCAGCGAGAGTGTGGAGTCGCCTTACCGGCCCCGCAAAGAGCGTGGTGCGGCATTTGTCGCCCGACGAGTTTGATGTCTCCAATGGACTCTCGAAACTGTTGCAGGTGCTTCGAAGCTCCCCGTTGCAGACTTTGCCAATACCGGATTCCTTCAGCAAGCTGGAGCGGTGGCATCAGCTGCGGCGGAAGGAGGGCGAGTCCATCCCAGAGCTGATTGTGCGGGAGGATGACCTCTTCCGAGAGCTGCAAGCAAGCCTTTTGAGATCGAGGGCTCGAGTGGAAAGGATTGCTTCGTCCACGACACCCTCGACACCGGCCTCACCGAGTTCAGCAAAGGCCACTGAGAAGAAGGAAGAGGAGCCCGCTGCTGATGGAGCTGGTTCCGCTGAGCCCGTCAAGGAGCCAGGTGGTGATGATGAGGTGCATCGGCACCTTGGCTTCTTTGAAGACGAGCTTCGTGGGTTCCGCCTGCTGAAGGCGGCCGGCCTGACGAATGACCAGAGAATGCAAGTGCTCACGCTCACAGCCAATGTTGTTTCCTTCGACCGGATCCGCCAAGCGCTCCGAGCGCTGTATGACGAAGAGGACCCCTCCGCCAAGCATGCCCGACGAAAAGGGGTTTGGTATGCGTCTGAAGATTGGGAAGAAGATGTTCTCTGGCAAGGAGGCGGCGATGATTGGCTGTGGGAGGACTGGGCCTGGGACGATGAGACTTCGTACTGGGCTGAGTGGTCCGAGTGGCCAAGTGACGCAGGATGGCAGGGCGAAGATGGTGCTGACGTCGCTGGAACTGAGCCTCCAGTTGAAGGGGCCCCTGGCGAAGAAGAGGAGGCGCTGGTGGTGCAGGAGCAAGAGGCTGCTGTGTTGGCGGCAGAAGCAGCCAAGACGCTGCAGGAAGCACGTCAAGCCATCCAGAAAGTTCGGGCGGCTCGGGGCTACTACCCCCTGGGCGGCAAGAAAGGTGGCCTCTCGGGACATGCGGCAAAGGGGAAGTCCTCAGCCAAGGGCCTTGGCAAGGGCAAGGGCAAGTCATCAGGCAAGCCGTCTGGAAAGGGTGGCTGCCTGATTTGCGGCCGCTTTGGCCATTTCTTCCGAGATTGCCCAAATAGGCATGCGAAAGGAGCGGGCAAGCTTGGCAAGAAAGGTGCTAACATGTGGATGGACCAGGTCTACCATATGTACTTCATTGACGCTCCGGCTGAGAACCTCCCCGAGACCGAGCCCATGGAGCCGATTCTCGACCGCATCGTAGAGCCGACCGACGCCGACTTGGAGGAGCAGAACCTGCAGTTCCACCAGGCCGACCCCTTGCTGACGATTCCGGACAAGTTCGAGCAAGCCCTGGTGCTGAGCTTGGAGACCGCAATGATGGCGGCCGTCGATGGAACGCCAGGCTTCATCCTGGACACTGGTGCGACAGAGAACGCAGTTGGAGTGAAGACCCTGCAGACAATGATTCAGAGAACTGGCGTTCAGCACATGGTGTCGCTCGACGACCGCCCCGTCTTCAAGTTTGGCGATGGTTTGAGTTTGCGGGCCTGTTCGAAAGTGACCTTGTTCGGAACGGGCCTGGGGGAAGTTCACTTCTACACCTTGGACGGCGACCACAGGCCACAAACTCACAATGCTGAGAACACTCCGGCACTGCTCGGCAGCAAGTTTTTGAGAGAGGCTAGGGCGACAATTTCGTACGATCGGCTTTGTTTGTGGTTTCAGGATAGAAGAAGCACCCTATGGGCCACAGAACTTCTCCAGACTCAGTCCGGGCATCTGATGATTCCTGTTGCTGGGCGTCTTTTGGACCTGACTTCCTTTCGGCTGAAGGTCGAGCAGGAACATGGTGTGCGGCTTCCTCATGCTGCGACTTGTTTGATGGACATTTTGTTCACTCCAGGTGCTCTTGAAGCACTTCGTGATGCGCAGAGCAAGCAGCCCGGATGCAGCAAAAAGATTGAAGATAGCCTCGAGGAAGGTTCAGACATGTCAAGTGCTTGGGGGACAGAGTCAGCAGAGCAAGTCCTGGCCGCATTCCCTTTCGGCAAGCACGCAGTTGAGCCGATTCATGTTGTTGATCGCCCTCAGATTTCGCAACGACTTCGAGACTTGAGTGCCCGCTTGTCCTTGTTTCGCCTCCAGTGCTTGAATGGCTCGCGAGGCAGCTCCGTTCGACGACCCGCGCCAGAGTGGCTATCCATGCTGGACCAAGCACACTCCCGGCAACAAGCGCGAGAACCAGTACGCGACATGGATGGCGTGTGGAGTGTGCGGTCTTCGACTGCGCTACGAGACGAAGGGCAGCCATGGCAAGACTCGAACGGCGGGTCCGACAGTGGCGGTGGTGCAGGAGGCCATGGACGAGTTGGCCCTCGAGTTCCCCACTGGCGAGGTCAACGAGAGGATGTGCTTGGGAAAGATCCGCGAGGTCCAGGGCCGGCGCATGGTGCAGAACGAGAAGGTGACCCTGGAGACGTTCATGGAGAAGAAGGCCGGCTACACAGGACCGAGGGGAATCTCGATGTCTCCTCCGACTTTGTTCCAGTGCAAGGGCGCAACGGCAAAGGCCAGAGCGCTGACACCACCGACATGCGATGCACGACGCAGTGGAAGCCGCTCCTCGGACGCCGCTGTGGCAAAGATGGCTGCTCAGAATGGGAAGTCAACGCTGCAGGAAAGTGTGCCTCGAGCCGAGCTGGAGGAGGCATGGATGACTATTCAGGACCAGGAGAACAAAGTGGCGGCCCTCAAGATGCGTCTGAAGGAAGCCCTTGGCGAAGATGCGGCCAAGGACTCAGACCTGGACGACGCCGAGAACATGAGCACGGTGAGCTGGAAGAAGGCCCCCTGATGGATGCGAACGAAGGTGAGGATGACTCTGGCCAGAGGGGTGTGGAGCGCCACTTTGGAACAGAGCCTGCGGCAACCTCACCGACACAGGGCCTTCAGGAGCGAAGCCGCGGTTTCACAGGTGCTGTTCGGCGCCAGTTGCACGCTGCAGGGGCTACTTACTTTGCGTCCTTGCTTTGCACCACGACCATTCTGCTGAATTCAATAGAACCGGCAAACTTGCTGGAGATCAATGGAGCCCGAGCCAATGGCCATTTTGGAGCTGGCGCGGGCAACTTCGGCATCACCTTCGACGGCTACTACCAGGAGACTGGGTGGAAGGTGGACAAGAAGGATGTGGCGACCACGCTTGTGGCGAAAGTTGCGGAAGCCAAGCCGGCTTTCTTGTGGATAGCGCCAGCAGTCCGAGGGGAATCGTCCTCTTGGGAAGCTGGAGAATCGCCTGGAGCCCGTCGAAACCGACAGAGAGGACAGCGACGCGCTTTGGAGTCAGCCAGAATTCTTTCTGAAGCAGCCTGTAGGAGCATCCATGAAGGCAACGAGATCGCCTGGGAGACTCCTATGGACATGAGCTACTGGAAGGATAGTTTGGCCGAGCAGAACATCAGGAAGGCTGCGACAGCATGTGGTCGACCTCTACATGTTCTAATAGTTGAGGGATGTCATTATCCTAAAACACAAGGGGCACATGGGAAGCGATGGCGAATCCTGACGACGAGCCATCAACTTGCTGCTGTCCTTCGACGATGCCGGTGTCCTGGACACAAAGAACATGATGTCATCACAGAGTCGGTTGCGTTTCCGGTGACCATGGTGAAGGACATCCTCGAGGGCATCCAGTGGGAACTTCGACTTCAAGGACGAGACCTTCAACAAGAACTTCAGGAATTCATGCTCCAACCAGCCGATGAGAGCCCGATCTATGCCATGACCTCTGGTGCACTTCCAGCCTTGGCCCCGAACGGTGCCAAATTGAAGCAAGTGAAAGAGAACATGCTGAGGCTACATCGGGCGGCTGGACATACATCCTTCGAAAACCTGGCAAGGCTTCTTCAGAGGAGAGGATGTCCGGAGTGGGCCGTGAAGATGGCCAGGGAGCTGACGTGTGTGGATTGCGCAGAAGTTCGCCATCAACATGGACCCCCGGCAGCTTCCGCTGAACCTCCTCCGGCCCTTTGGGAAACCCTGGGGATGGATGTCTTTGAGTATGAGTACAAACGCAATGGGACAAGGACCAAGGCGAAGTTCCTGCTCATGATCGATCGGGCAAGTCGTTTTGTGATGACGCACTTTCTGCATGAGTACCCAGCCGAAGAGGCCTGGGAACCAAGCACAGCTGACATCAAGCGAGCCGTGGTCAAGACATGGATGGCGGCGAACCCGAGCCCAAGGTGGCTGTACACGGATGCGGCAGCTTACTTCACCAGCAGGGAGATGATCGACTTCGCCTCCCGCAGCGGCCTAGGGCTGATGACAGCGCCCGCTGAAGCTCACTACTTGATGGGCGTCGAAGAGCGAGCAATTCAAGTGATGAAGCGGACGGTGGAGAAGCTGGAGCTGGAAGAGCTCAACTTGGACATTGGAGCTCTTTTTACCTTGGCTGCACATGGCCACAACTCCTTTGTGCACTCGGCGACAGGATATAGTCCATTTCAGTGGGCGAGAGGATGGCAGCGTGAAGATGCTCCTCCGGTTGGGCTAGATCCAAGAAAAGCCTTCAGCAAAGTCCTAGCGCACAGGGCCACGGCGGAAGCAGCATTTCTCAAAGCAGACGCGGGAATCAAGTTGTCCAAGCTGTCAAATTCGGTGGCAAGGCCAGTGCAGAGATATCAGGCCGGTGATTTGTGCATGCTGTGGCGTGCTCGCATGAATCGTCAACGAGGTGGATGGACTGGTCCGCTTCGAGTGCTTTTGCAAGAAGGCACCACTGTTTGGCTAGCCACCGGAACCACACTCGTTAGAGCCAAGCTGAACCAAGTTAGGCCAACCACAGAACGCGAGAAGCTCGTTTCCTCTACCCAAGGAACCACCGTGTACCAGAACGCAGTCGGGCTGGAGATTCTTCTTCGTGGATACCGAGGCAAGCATTTCCTGGATGCCACCTCAGAGAACCCCGGCTTGGAGATTGAGGAAGATCTGAGTCCTGCCGACCGCCTGGTGGAGCCCGAGGCTCCTCGTGTTGGAGGAGAAAAGGACCGTTGGGTGGTCACTGAGACGATGGTGATTCGCAAACATCTGGTTCCTAGGTTGTCCTTGTTCACTCCTGATCGCACCAAAGACTGCCCGGTGCCGGATGTAGGTCTGTCTGGGAGGAGAAGAACGGTCCTACAGAGGCCCGGAGGTGCCAATATCGTCCTCGACAACTACAAGACTGAAGAGAGGCCACGCCGGTCCCTGATGGAGCGATGGTGCGGCGAAACTCAGTTCGAGCGAGCTGGGCGGACGCTGCCGGAAGAAATTGAGCAAAGAGCCCCGCAACAACGAGGTTCCCTTCCAGAAGTAAGAGAGCCACGTCCTGAACAACCAAGTTCTCCTCCAGAACAACGAGGTCCTGCAGCCGGCGCACGGCGAGGCTTAGAAGCCTCATCCTCTTCGGTGTCTGGCCCCCCTGTGAAGAAAGAGCGGCGCAGCGAGTTGCCGCCCGACCAGGATATGGCTGAGATCCCAGTGCCGCAACCTGCGCTGAGGTCCCAAGTCCTAGGCGAGGAGGCGCCTGAGGCCGAGCCGGAAACTCCGGTTCCTCCTCAAGGTACATTTCAAGGAGTTCTACCCGCGCAACCAGACTTCCTGGAAGAGGAGCATGCTAGCGCGGCCCCGTACTCCACCACCGACGAGGAGAGCAGCGACGAGGAGCTACGACCAGACGTTCCTCAAACAGAGCAAGCCCACTATTCGGTGCCGCCTGAGAAGTATGCGTGCTACGCTTGTGAGATTAGCCTCACTGAGCGGGACCTCAAGAAAATCACGAAACGGCCTCGAAGAGCTACCGCTTGGTTATCGCAAAAGATGATGGAAAAGAGCAGAGAAGTACACTGGAGGTCGTTGACGCAACCTCAGAAGGAGGAGTACGACGAAGCCATGTCCATAGAGGTGAGCAACGTAATCCGCGAGCGAGCTGCCAGAGCTTTGACAGCCCAGGAGATCTGCGACCTGGACTACAACAAGATAATGAACATGAGGTGGGTCTTGACAAGAAAGGCGAGTGGTGCTCCAAAAGCCAGGTTGGTGGTTTTGGGGTATCAGGCCCACAACTTGCTGGAGGTCGAGACAGCAGCACCGACATTGTCTCGTACTGGCAGGAACATGCTGCTCACTGCGGCGGCAAACAGTGGCATGATCCTGGAAACTGGAGACGTCACATCGGCGTTTCTTCAAACCTTCGAAAGCCTGGAGAAGGAAAACTTGGTGGTCTGGGCGCCAATTGAATTGGCGGCCATGTTTGGAGCAGATCCAGCAGATAGCGGAATGGCAATGAAGCTGACGAAGGCCTTCTATGGCTTAGCGCACGCGCCACGAAAGTGGCACGAAACGGTTCTGAAAGCGCTCCGGGAGACCGGATGGCAACAACTTCGTGCAGATCGTTGTTTGTTTGCCTTGCGGGACGGCTCAGGCCGACTGTGCGCGCTGGCAGGCCTGCACGTCGACGATTTTCTCCTGGCAGGGCTTCCTGGCAACAAGCTGTACCTGGACTCGAAGAAAGCGTTGCAGGAGCGCTTCCGTTTTGGAAAATGGGAGCAGGCGACTGGAGAAGGCTTCACCTTTGCAGGCTGTCGTGTCAGACAGACGGAGGCTGGCATTCAGCTGGATCAGGAAGAGTACGTCAACGACTGGGTGCAGGAGATCCCGCTAGACCACCAGAGAGCCAAGCAACTTAAGTCTAAGGCGACTCCCAAAGAAATTGGCGACCTTCGAGCAGCTCTTGGGACTCTGTCGTGGAAGGCCTCGCAGACTGGTCCACAGTTTCAGGCGGAAGTGTCGCTGAAGTTGAGCGAGGTGCCCATGGCCACGGTGAACACCCTGGTCAGTGTCAACAAGCTGGTGCGGGAAGTTCGTCGAACAGCTTCTCAGAGGATTCTGTTCCCATGCTGGGGACAGCCATGGCAGTCCATCAGTGCAATGGTGTGGGCCGACGCTAGCCAGGCTAATCGTCCGAACAAATCCTCGACAGTGGCTTTCGTTGGCTGCATGGGTCCACGGGCGATCCTGGAAGGCGAGGAGGTGTCGCTGGCGCTGGTGGCGTGGCGCAGCTCTAAGTGCCCGCGTGAGAGTCTAGGCTCCAACGGCAGTGAAGTCCAAGCGATTACCATAGGCGAAGATGAAGTGTTTCTCTTGCGAGCCATGTGGTATGAAATCCACGGTGGCGAGATTTCGAGATACACGCTTGCCGAAGAGCTGAAGCAGCACACTTCGGGAGGCCTAGTGATGGATAGCAAGGGCATTTTTGATGCCATGACAAGAAATGTATCGGCCTTGCATGGCCTGCGATCCTCGAGGGCGGGTTTTGAACTTACTGTATCGGTTCAACAAGCGGTTGCCTTAGGGACCCAGCTTAGGTGGGTTAACGGGACTGCTCAGTTAGCCGATGGTTTGACTAAGGACAATGCGGGGGCCCGTAGGGGTTTCTTAGAGTTCTTAGCTAGAGGTCAACGGTGGAGTGTGGTTCATGACCCGTCTTTCACAGCAGGCAAGAAACTGACGAAGCGACAGTTACAGCAGAAGCTTAAGGATCAAGAGAACTTCTTCGTCGGTGCCTTGAAGGCATTTGCCGCTTCTTCTCATTATCCCTGGTTCGATTTAGATCCTATGCCGTACGATGATATTGAGCCCAGAAACCTCAAAGAAGTATTAGGGATATGAGTTGGAAGCATGACACACGTTTCACATGAGGTTCTGAGCTTGTGCAGGACTGAACTCTGTCTGCAGGGTGGGATTTCTCGAGCCACGCAGGAAAAGATAGGGAGCGAGGCCTGTGGGCCTGCTGATGTTGTGGCACACTGCTACTTTCACCTACGGCATCTGGGCTTCTGAGGACTTCGTGGGTCTTTAGGGTTTAGGGTTTAGGGGGTTAGTGTTTCAGGTGTGCAAACAAATGGCCAAGTCAAGGAAGCTGTGCTACTGTGTGGCATCTTCTTACCCTAAAGCCTAAACCCTAAACCTTAGACCCTAGACCCTAAACCCTAAACCCAGGCATCACCTTCGGGCCGAACTTCATCCAAATCGGCCTCTTCCGCCTGGCGGCAATGGACGCGAACCACCTCAGCATCTCCCACCAGAGGGGGCAAACAGCACAAGTCTTCAAGAATGATGGCGCCTCCCTTTATATGGCCATCCTTTTTGATTCTTAAGTCGTGCTTGATGTGTTGACGCCCTTGGGCCCGTGGCCCTGGGGTTTCATTGTTGAAACATGCAAATTCCAAGTGTCGAACTAGGTTTCTCAACCTGAACCCTCCAGCCTATCCCTCTAAAACCCCTCTAAACTCATGTGCCATAAGCCCTGAAGCATCCTGTGGATGTTGACTCAGTGTTGACCCACTCAGGAACCCTGGACCAGGGACCACGAACGGATTCTCGGAGCCCAGTGAGCAACCGTTATAGGATTTAAAAAAGAGCTGATATGTCACATAAAAATATAGTCACATATTCTAAAACTGACTATATGAAATACATATATATATATATATATATTTTTTTTAAAAAATATTTATATAGGACAATATCTAGTATACGACGAGCGAATCCCGAGCTTGTTTCTCGAGCCTCAAACCCAACTAAACGTACCGATGCTAAATGCAAGCAGCCTTCACTTCAGTCCAAAGCCTAAACCCCCGAAACCCTAAACACCTAAACCCCAAACCCAAAACACGTCAACCCTAAACACCTAAACCCTAAACACCTAAACCCTAAACCCTAAACCCTCAACCCGAAACCCTAAACCCTAAACCCTAAACCTTCTTCTGGAGTACATGTTAAGGATTGGAATGCCTGGGCCGATGAACGGTTCACTGCCGGGCCACCTTCGGGAATCACTTTCGGTGACAAGCTCCTCTGGGTTTAGGGTTTAGGGTTTAGGGTTTAGGGTTTAGGGTTTAGGGTTTAGGGTTTAGGGTTTAGGGTTTAGGGTTTAGGGTTCAGGGAGGGGGCTTTGAGTTTAAAGGTCTGTGGTGAAATGGTTCAGGGCTCAATTCGGGATGTGGTCCTGTTCGCATGTGTTCTGATTAGTCCCTGAGGGCTGCATGTTGCCTGGGCCTAGGCTCTGCCCTAAACCTTACACCCCAAACCCTAAACTAGACCCTAAACCCCAAACCCTCAACCCTAAACCTGCTTGAGGGACCCTGATTCCAAAAGGACCTAGCGTTTACAGATCCGAGAAGATGCCGTTGTTGGCCCTTGCTTCAAGAATGCCTGAAAACTCACCTTAGGGGCTGGGTCGGTAGCCCTTAACCTTTTTGGTTTTATAGAAACCTACTATGTGTAAAAAGGTTAACTGTACCCCAAACCCCAAACCCCAAACCCCAAACCCCAAACCCCAAACCCTAAACCCTAAACCTATTTTGGGCTAGGGTAGTTCAGCCTCTAAGTCACTGTGCAGCTTGGGAAAGCAGATTTCAAATCCTCTTCCCCAAGTCGGATTTCGGCAGGCACAAGTCACAAGTCCCTCCGCGTAGCTTCCCCTAAACCCTAAACCCTAAAGCCTAAACCTTAAACCCTAATGCCCTACTTCTGATGATATTTTCTGTGTGAGGTTCATTCAGATTGGCAACTTCCGGATCGGAGATGCAGATGGTAGGCCGGACTTGACAAGCCAGCATGCCGGTTCTGGCACAACCACTAAGCTTAGTGTAGGGTTGAGGGTTGAGGGTTTAGGGTTTAGGTTTTAGGGTTAGCTGGCAGAGCCTGGGTTCAAAAAAGGGTTAGCTGGCAGATCTTGGTGTAGCTGGCAGAAGGCTACGCGTTCTCGAGCAGCTTGTTGCGATGGTGCTCTTCGGGTTCTTCATTCCGGCAGCACTCCGCAGCCCCTAAACCCTAAACACTCAACCCTCAACCCTCAAGCCTCAACCCTCCACCCCTAAACCCTAAACCCTATAAACCCTATAAACCCTATCCGATGGCAGGCACTTGCTCTTGACCCATAGCGGCGGTCAGACCATTCAAATGTTCAAGGCGGACGGGACGAGGCAGCCAGGACCCGCAACCGGGTGGACTCCGTTGCTTGGTAGGGTTTTGGGTTTTGGGTTTAGGGTTCAGGGTTTAGGGTTTAGGGTTTATGGTTTAGGGTTTAGGTTTTAGGGTTTAGGGATTAGGGTTTAGGGTTTAGGGGGCCCAGTGGTACCCTTGACCCTTTTTCTGGTTATGGACTCCCTTCTAAAGTACCCAACCCAAAACAGGGTTTAGGGTTTAGGGTTTAGGGTTTTAGGGTTTAGGGTTTAGGGTTTAGGGTTAGGGTTTAGGGTTTTTGGGGTTTAGGGTTTAGGGTTTCGTAGGTTGCTGCGCTACTAAGGTGGGTCAACGATCGATATCCACAGTGGCATTGCGGCAGTCTGCAGGAAGTGCTTGGCTCTTGCCCTGGCATCACGACAGGTGCGGGATGCTTCAACTCAAATGCTTTCCTTCAAGATGGCCCTTTAAACCTCAAACCCTGACCCCCACAACCCTCAAACCCCAATCCTGATCTACGCCTCTCTCTCTCTCTCTCTCTCTCTCTCTCTCTCTCTCTCTCTCTCTCCCTCTCTCTATCGACCTATCCATCCAACATATCTATCTATCTATCGATCTATCCCCATCCATCTGCGCGTGGTATGCGGGTATATGGTATCCGTAGAAGTACATACCTGAATGTCAAAAACACAAGTTATAGATATATATATATATATATATATATTATTTATAGTATATAGATATATGTATATATTTAAGTTATCTTATTTTTTCATAATTATATTTATTTTATTCATATATATATATATATATATATATATATATATATATATTTGTTTGAATATTTATTCATTTTCATTTTTTTATAATTTTATTCATATGTATGTGAATATTTATAACTATGTTCAAATTTATATTAATATTTCTACGTTTGTTTATATTTATACTCATATTCGTTTCTATTATATATATATATATATATATATATGCTCACCCCCCCCCCCCCCCCCCCCCGCCCCCCTTCGACAGACCCCGGAAGCGAAAAAAAGGCTGAGGGCGCGACGGACAGCATAGCTGCACACAGTGGGGTGCATAGGATTCATTTTGTTTTTATGTTAATCTCATTAAAGGAAGAGGAAACCCTTTTAAAATGAATGAGAACCCTTAATACTTTTAAATTCAACGGAAACCCTATTCAAATGACAGAACCCTATTTAAAGTTGATAGGAATCATATTACATTTGTAGGAGCCCTACTAAACATAGGCAAACTATGAAAATTTATTGGAATCTTACAAACACAAATAGGAATCCTCTACTTAAATCCATATGAACCCTATTAAAATTAATCGGATTTGTATAAAAAATAACAGGAAGCTATTAACATGAATAGGAACCCTATTAAAGTTAATGAGAACCCTATTATACTTGATAAGAATCCTAATCAACTGAAGAGGACCCCTACCAAAATTAATAGGAACCAATGGGACTCCTATAAAAAAATGTGAACTCTTAACTAATAGGAATCCTACTAAAATTAAAATGAGCCCAAACCAGCAGGAATCCCTTTCAAATGAATGAGATCCCTATTAAAATTAATACCAATCCACTGAGCATGAGTAAGAGCTCTGAAATTGATATGAATCTTATTGCATTAGTAGGAGCTTTATCAAAATCATTAGGAACCATATGAAACTTTATTGGAATCCTCTGAAAATAAGTATGTAACAAGATTCCTATCAATTTTAGGGTTCTTATTCATGTTAATGGCATTCGTATTAATGTTAATAGAGGTCTCATTCGTTTGAAAGGAATTCGTTTGAAAGGAATTCTTATTGGTTTAGGCTCATATTCATTTAGTAGGGTTCCTATTAATTCTTGTTGTTGCGAATCTTATTTTTCATAGAAGTCCTATTAGTTCCTATTCATCTCCACCGCGTTCTTTTGATTTGTTAAGGGTTCCTATTCATTTTAACGGGCTTCCTATTAGCTCATCCGATAAATTTCGGTAGGATTCCGAAAAGAACCGGTTATAATTCATATGAGTCCTGTTACATGAGAAGGAATCTGAGTAAAATTCCTAAACCCTAAACCCTAAACCCCAAACACTAAACCCTAGACCGTGTAGAACCCCTGAAAAAAGCTTACCAAAACTCCAGTTTCCCAATTTATTTCCAATTTTTGAAAACTCGAGCGGGAGCCTGAAAATCCAAAATTCGAGCTCCCGCTCGAGTTTCCGAAATTCGAAAAACCCAAAAACTCCAACCCAAGTTTCGGATTTTTGGAAACTCGAGCGGGAGCCTCAAAAATCCAAGAATCGCGCTCCGGCTCGAGTTTCCGAAATTCCAAAAATCCAAAAAAGCCACCGCCAAGGTTTGGATTTTCGGAAACTCGAGCGGGAGCCTCAAGATCCAAGAATCGCGCTCCCGCTCGAGTTTCCGAAATTCCAAAAATCCAAAAAAAGTCCACCCCAAGGTTTGGGTTTTTGGAAACTCGAGCGGGAGACCCACAATCCAAAATTCCTCGAGTTTCCAAACTTCCAAAAAACCAAAAGAGCTCTCTTTTTTTATATTTTCTCATGAGTGTAGAACACCAGAAAAAAATCTTACCAAAACCCCAGTTTCCAAAATTCCAAAAATCCAAAAAACCCAACCCAAGTTTCGGATTTTTGGAAACTCGAGCGGGAGCCTCAAAATCCAAAAAAACAAGCTCCCGCTCGAGTTTCCAAAAATCCAAAAAACCCACCCCCAAGGTTTGGATTTTTGGAAACTCGAGCGGGAGCCTCAAATCCAAAAATCCAAAATTCCTCGAGTTTCCAAAAATCCAAAAAGACCAACCCAAGTTTCGGATTTGTGGGAAACTCGAGCGGGAGCCTCAAAATCCCAAAACCCAAAATTCCTCGAGTTTCCAAAAATCCAAAGATCCAAAAAATCCACCCCAAGGTTTGGGTTTTTGGAAACTCGAGCGGGAGCACGAATTTGGATTTTGAGGCTCCCGCTCGAGTTTCCAAAAATCCGAAACTTGGGTTGGAATTTTTGGAATTTTGGATTTTTGGAAACTCGAGGAATTTTGGGTTTTTGGATTTTGAGGCTCCCGCTCGAGTTTCCAAACTCCGAAACTTGGGTTGGAGTTTTTGGAATTTTGGATTTTTGGAAACTCGAGGAATTTTGGAGTGTTGGTCCCCCCCCCCTTCCTGGACAGACTGGAAATACAACTCCGGGGTCTGTCGTTGGGGGGGGGGGGGTGACCATATATATATATATATATATATATATATATATAGATATATATATATATATGTATTTCCATATGTAGATATATGTTGTGTTTATATTTACTCAAATATATATATATATATATATGTTCGTATATTTCTATTCATATCATTTTTGTATACATAGGTCAATGCCCATCTGTAGTAGGTGTTGCCTTTGTGCAGCTTGGCGACTGGCGCATCGGAGAGTATGATGGGGGGCACTTCTCGGTGTCTCACCGCAACGGCAAGACTGCCCAGCTCTACCGCCAGGATGGAACCCTCCATCCCCATGCCGTGCATGGCTACGAGATTTGGCATCGTGAGGCCGGCAAGAGCAACCGCCCGGTGAAGTTTGGAGACCGCTTCATCGACTTCGGCCAGTGGCGGATTGGGGAATGGGATGCAAACCACTTCACCATCACCCACAATCACCTGAAGACTGCACAGATCTTTCGCAAAGATGGCACACTGCACCCCGGGCCACGAGATGACTTTCACTTGAAGGATCGTCAGGTGGGTGAGCCGTCGGGCATTTCTTTCGGAGATCGCTTTGTGCAGATTGGCCACTTCCGACTCGGCGACGTTGATGGAAAGCACTTCTCTGTGTCCCATGTGGATGGCCAGACCATTCAAGTGTACAGGGATGATGGCACGCTTCTTGGGTGCAGAGTCGGCAACCTTTAACCCCTTTGTTGGGGTTGCATCCCCAAAAACCTACTCAAACCAAAGCAAACTATCCTGGATTCCTCAGCCAGTGAGGCTTCATCCTGGGCCTAGGCAGGACTTCACGACCTTCGGCCGTTCGCTCCTGGAGTGCAAGGTTGAAGAGTGATGCGGGGGGCTGATCTAGATTCTGGGCCCCCGTGGCACCGTAAACTCCAGAAAGTTGGAACATGGGTGAAGGATGACTTGAGCTGGGATTCCCTTTAGTATGCCTTTTGAAGTTTAGGGACAAGGATGTTCCAACTTGTTGGAGCTTGCTGTACGTTCTGAAGGATAGGAAATCTATAGTGTCATGGAGAATTTTACGGAGGGGCCCGTCGCATCCGAAAGGAGAGGATGTTATTTGCCATCATGGCAACCTGAAAGGAGCCAATCCTACCCTTTTATTGACAATAGCAAAACGGGCCCAACCCTTAACCCTAAACCCTAAAGAATAAGCAATGAATTCATGAGCATAGCAATACCCCGCAGGAGAGTAGTAGCATGGCAGCCCTAAGGCGGCCATAGTACCCTGAAGGCACCCTAAGGACTAAACGGGGACCCAGAATTTCGACCGTTGCCCGTGGGCATCGGTAGGTTTAATGTCATTTTGCCTTTGGCGACAGGCAGATTGTGTGCGGCCTGCCTGGTGCGCCTTACAGATAGGGCTGTAAATTGAAACTCTTGCGTTTAGGGGCTCGGGTTTTGGGTTTACAGGCTCGATCGAGTCGAAGGTGCCCTGAACTAAACCCTAGCCCTCAACCCGAAACCCTATAAGTCCCTCTGGTCCAGGCAATCTGCACACCTTCAGTAAGAGGGCGAGGTCGATGGAGTGTATCTCCCGACCCGTCAACAGTCCGCCACATCGATTCTTAGCTTCTTCACAGTCAGCATACCCGAGACACGTTGTACAGAGGAGGCCTTGTAGCTGCTGCGCAAAAACGGACCCCCCAGACCCAGACCCCCTAAACCCTAAAGTCTAAACCCTAAACCCTAAACCCTAAACCCTCCGCC